CCCTTCATAATTTTATATGTTTCTATAAGATCCCCCCTCAATCTTCTGAATTCCAATGAATATAATCCCAATCTACTCAGTCTCTCCTCATAAGCCAACCCCCTCAACTCCGGAATCAACCTAGTGAACCTCCTTTGCACCCCCTCCAGTGCCAGTACATCCTTTCTCAAGTAAGGAGACCAAAACTGCACACAGTACTCCAGGTGTGGCCTCACCAGCACCTTGTACAGCTGCAACATAACCTCTCTGCTTTTAATTTCAATCCCTTTAGCAATGAAGGACAAAATTCCATTTGCCTTCCTAATTACTTGTTGTACCTGCAGACCTACCTTCTGTGATTCATGCACAAGGACACCCAGGTCCCTCTGCATAGCAGCATGCTGCAACTTTTTACCATTCAAGTAATAATCCTTTTTACTATTACTCCTATCAAAATGTATGACTTCACATTTATTTACATTGTATTCCATCTGCCAGACCTTTGCCCACTCACTCAATGTATCTATGTTCCTCTGCAAAGTTTCACAGTCCTCTGCACACTTTGCTTTGCCACTCATCTTAGTGTCATCTGCAAACTTTGACACCCTACACGTGGTCCCCAACTCCAAATCATCTATATAAATTGTAAATAATTGTGGCCCCAACACCGATCCCTGAGGCACACCACTAGTCACTGACTGCCAGCTGGAATAGCACTCATTTATCCCCGCTCTTTGCTTCCTGTTAGTCAATCAATCCTCTATCCATGCTAATACTTTACCCTTAATGCCATGCATCCTTAATGTGAATCCTTAAGGTAATGTGAATACAGTTTATACTCAGCTGACAGTAAATTAACTTGATGTTGTTGGTAGCATATCCATGCATCCAGTCCTTGCAGTATAAGTCCATCAGCTTCCTTATCAGTCAGGACTTTCTGAAATGCTTTAGAAATAGAATGAAATGAATTGAAAGAGAAAAAAAGTGACAATCCAGCTAATGCTGGTCATAGCTGAACAGGGAAGGAGCTGTAAGTGGTGAAATGCTAGATTCTTACACGATAAAATGCTCGCCCACACCTAAAAGTTTTGAGAAAACACCTGATTGCTTGCAAATACATGATGCGCAAATTTCAGTTCTGAACTGGAAATAGGATGTGTTGTGTTACAAACAGTAGTCGACTGATTGGTCTGGATTTTGGAAACGGTATTAACGTGCTCAATCTGAACCGAGTGTCTCCTACAATCCTGGGAAAAACTATGCACACACTTTTGCTGCTGGGTTTAGTTGTAGCTGTTGCAGGCTCAGGTCCTGCTGGACTCTACCAAGGGTGAGGAATTTCTCTGCGTGTACCGTGAAATTGACGGAGGCTGGAAGATCCACCAAGTCTGACATTTAATGTTATTTATTCTTGACAGGGATAAAGTGCTTCGTCTGATTCCGGAAAATGACCTGCACCTGCAGTTTCTAAGGAACGCGTCCCGCACTGGGAAGGTATGATTTCATTTTGCTAAACTCACAGGCTGCTGTTTAACTGAGGTTAAGCGAATAATTGTGGTGTTGCTGTGTTCACAGGTTGATTTTTGGCATCCGCATTCAATCGACCTGGTGACCACAGGGAAAGGTGTGGATTTCAGGGTGGCTGCTCATTGGAGCTCGGATATCCAGGCTGAACTGGAGAAGATTGGTTTGAAATATGAGTTAGTTTCTGTTCCTGTATCAACTTTCACCAACATTATAATCACCTCATTGAACGTTTTTATATTAAAACAGAAGTTGATATCCCTATATCTTCCTTTTCACAGGATATTAACTGAGAACTTGCAAATCTTGATTGAGAACCAGTTCGACCAAATAAGGACTCGATCATTTAGCTATGATTATAAAAGTTATCATAACTGGGATCAGGTAAAAGCTAAAATGTCTACAATTTTTCTTTAAGGTGTGCTGTGAGACCTTTGCCAGTGATAGGAAGATCAGGGTAGGAAGAGGCCATTCAGCCTTGATATGTTTTCCCAATTCATTTTGAATTATAATTCTCTTTGGCTGCATTTGTACCAATTGCAGTTTTCAGTTTACCCAAACCTGCCCAGTTTGGCCTCATGTGCCTGCTCTAGTTGTTCAGCAGATGGAGCAAAATGGGTGTTAGCCAGTAGCACTGTGTTATGTTAATATAGCTTTCCCTCCTGACAATTACAGCTCATGGTAAATATTTGCAATAGAAAGTGCAGACAGATGATATTGCTAAATTTCACTAGGCAGCAGACTTTTGACAGGGTCTTCCATAGTGCTCACTAAACTTCCTTTTTATATGATGTACTCCAAAATCATTCCTACATTACTTTCTTACTAATAACATAAATACAGGAGAGACAGAAGGAGACTGGAATATATCAAGAGCTTTTCATGATCTTGCGCAGTGCAGATGTTGTCGCAATACAGGAAATGTTCTACCCAATTTATATACAGAATGTTCCCACAAACACCACGTAATAAATGACCAGATTCATCTGTTTTACTTGTTGTTTAATGGAGAAATGTTAGCCCACAGCAATGGGAGGACTCCCCTATTCAAATAGTACCTTGGCGTATTTTTACATTCAACTGTGAAGGTGAAAATGGCTCACTCAAAAGAGAGCACTTCTCCCAGTAGAGCTGTCCCTCTGTGCTGCCTTGGAATGTCAACCTGAAGTAGGTGATTTCATCTACAGGTGGAAAATTTAAACCTGAGCCTCTGACTCCTATATGCACTACATCATGGACATTGGAATCTCTGTAGTTGAATCTGACACCAAATTGGGGAATAGTCAATATTGACAAAGGCAGTAACAAATCACATGATATCAACAAACTTGCAGACCGGGCAAAGAACTGCCAATAAAATTGAACAATAAAATGTTAGGTAGTATAAGTTCGTAGAGGGGAAAGGGAGTCATGTATTACAAGTTTAGATGAGGTAAAGGAACAAAAGGATCTTGAAGTACAGGTAAGCCATTACTGAAAGTTGTGTCACAAGTTAGCAAGGCTAGGAGGAATAAATCCAATAAACCTATTGCTAGAGGAATAAAATTTGATCGTAGCAAAGTTATGCTAAACCTGTATTGAATCTTGGTTAGAACCACAGTTTTGTAGCCAGCAATGCACATAATAGTGTGAATGGATATAAGGACACTGGAAAAGACACAGAGAAGATTTACAAGTTTAATCCCAGAAATGTCTGCCTGTATATGTGTGTATCATAAACATCTGGAAAGGATTGATAGGCTTGGTCTCTGTTCAGTTGACATAAGAGGGCTGAGGCGTAGAGGTCTTTAAAACGAGCGGTTCTGATACAGTTGCTGCAGAGAGAATGTTTCCTGTTGTGGGAAAGAGCATTATTAGAGGTTATCAATGTACGATAATCACTACGGAATTCAGAAAAACATCTTTACCCAAAGAGTCATGAGAATGTGGAACTAAATACAACTGGGGGTGGTTGAAGTGAATAATATAGATGCATTTAAGGGCAAGCTAGACAAGCATTTGAAGGAGAACATGTTATGGACTAGACCAAACTCCCTCAAAATATTCAGAAGATAGTCCAAACTCTAATTTTTTTCTTATTTTAAAAGTAAGTGTAAGGGGTTGCATTCCAGGTGCAATTCAATTGGTCAAACTATTGCATTTAAAGCAAAACTCACTTTATTCGTCCACTACAGTTAAAATACAACAAAAGAAAGAGGGAATTGGAATAACTTAACTCTACTGGAAAATTTAAACGAATACTAGATGCAGTAATGATTACTAATTAACTGCTCCAAAATAGGAACATCCCATAAACACACTTGGTAAAAGGCAAATTCAGAAAACCGATGGTCTCACATGCGACTCCAGCAGCCCAAGAGGGGAAAAAAGCATCAAGAGAAAATTCTGAGAGAGTGTATCATCTGGGAGAGATTTACTGCAGCTTCCAACCGTTCTGAGACCCTGTCAACAAATACTGCTACTGAGAAACTAAAAATCCTGGTGCTGTGAGAGCTTGACCACACCCAGCTTGGCTGCTTCTATTGTTCCAACCTTAAAAAAAAATCCAAGGCCTCACAAACTGTTTACTCTAGTGGTTCTGGTAGATTGCTCATCACCACTGCCTTAAAACCTCTCTTCAAAAAAAAAAACCTCGGACAAAATAACCTCTGAAAGCCATAGAATCGTCACAAAGATGGTAGAAGTTTACAGTGTTGGACATAGATGGAGAAATAATGGGAGGAACTTACCAGGAGTGTTAACATCAACATAGGTAGGAGGGGCTGAATGACCTGTTTTTGTGCTGTACATCCAATATAATCTTATGAATTTGCAAAACACCAGAGACCAAAGAAAGGAGTTTTCTGGGAGCATGTTGGCTTGGAGGAAATTTTAAGAGTTGGATAATTGTGTGAAATAAGTACAGGTATAATGGGCTTTATAAGCAAAATATGTTCCCACATTTTCCTCTAACAAAAAATACCTTTGTAAAGCAATGATGAAAAATGTTCCAGAGTGTCTCAAATTTGATAATCATTTGCAGATTGAATCCTGGACTGCTACCATTGCCAAAGAAAATCCAAACTTAATTTCTCGGCTTGTAATTGGGCAGAGCTATGAGGGACGAGATATCTATCTCCTCCAGGTAAGATTATGTTTCATTATTGGTGCAGCCTGAGCCTGCTGATGTATGTCAGTGTTGTGGAGCGACAGCTTGATCGAGTTTAGGGTTGGACAGATAAGAAAGTTTATAGTCTATTGATATCTGCCAATATATCGTTAAAGGTTGGCAAGAGAACAGGTTCTCCGAAACCTGCCATCTTCATGGACTGCGGGATCCATGCCAGGGAATGGATCTCCCCAGCATTTTGCCAGTGGTTTGTGAAAGGGGTTCGTCGCACAAGCTAAACTTTACCACTTGTTGGATTTATTTACACAGAGATTGCATGCACCTGCTTCTCAATGTTCAATAAAAATGGTTTATACATTCTACAGGCTGTTAGAACATATGGAACAAGATCTCCCCTGAACTCTCTTGTCAATGAGATGGATTTCCTGGTTATTCCTGTTGTAAATGTAGATGGTTATGTATACTCTTGGACTGAGGTAAGGATCAAATGCGTTGTGTGGGGTATTTTGGAAATAATATTTGCAACTATCTGGGATTGCCTTTTCTCTTGTTTCCTTTCTATTAATCCAGTTGTAGCCCAAGGAATTTTTTGCAATTGTCTCTTCTCTCTGCTACAGTGTTGTTTATGAAGTCCACTTAGGATTGATTCTTGATCAGTCCCAATTTCTAATTTCTAATTTCTAACCCTCAGTCAGCAACATCACCTGAAAGAATTACACATGGATAAAGACTCAGTTTCTCTCCCTTGGCCATTGTCTGAGGGCGAATGGGACTGTTGTAGTCTTGGTATTTATCAGTCCCTGAGCTGACCTTCCAACCCCATTTCTCCCCAGTCAACAATGCTGACTTCTGCCTGCATAATGTTCCCTGATCTCTTCTTAAGTTGCAGAAGCATTTACGGTTACCAAAATCTTCAATGACTTTGTCCAAAGTCTTCTATTCGTGTACATATACAGCACAAAAGGAGGCCATTCAGCCCCAATGAAACATAGAAGCATAGAAAATAGGAGCAGGAGTAGGCCATCAGCCCTTTGAGCCTTCTCAGCCATTGATTATGATCATGGTTGATCATTCAACTCAATAGCCTGTTCCTCCTTTTCCCCAAATCCTTTGTCTTTAGCCCCAAGTTCAATATCCAACTCATTCTCGAAATCATTCAGTATTTTTGTACACTGAGACCTAAACTCATTTTGTCACCCCATAGCCTTGTAATTTTCATTCATGCAACTACAACTTGCTAGGACGTCACAACCTTAACTCACTAATATACTTCACAGGAGTTTTGTCAGGGAAGATTTTGGCCCCAAATCTCATAAGAAGCGAACAAGACAAGTGACGAAAACATGGTCAAGGAAGGAAGTTTTAATATCTTGAAGGAAGAATGCATGGTAAAGAGAATGGATAGATTAAAGGAAGAAATTCCAGAGTTTGTCACACATTTATCGAGAGATGGGATAGCAAATGGTGCCAAGTAACATGCCAAGAAGGCAAAATGATATCTGCTGCACCATAGATACTGCACTGGATTAAGATCTCATTACACCATTTGCTGTATGATGATGTGTCTGTTGATAACAAGCAGATGATGGTGTTATCTATCTATGCACCTGCTCACTGTTTCTATCAATAGGATCGACTTTGGAGGAAGACAAGATCCAGGAATTTTGACTCTGACTGTGTAGGAACTGATCCAAACAGAAACTTCAATGCTGAATGGTGTAGTAAGTCCATTTATTGTAATATGATGGTGTCCTCTCAAATTTAGAGAGAGAGAGTTTTGTGCTTACTTAAACTTGTGAGACCTCATATTGAAGAATTAAAATGATTTATACATTGCCTCCCACTCCCACTGCATTAGTGCCAAAGGGCACATTGAAATGCTGAATGTGGGCTGGAGTTGATCCCAAGTCTCTAGTTATCCAAATGGTACCTCATGCAATGTGCTTTAAAAGAACTGAAGTATAGCTAGAGCCTGAAAATCTTGATGAAGACTCTGTCTTTCTCCATCTGGAACATTATGAGCCAACCTCAACACTGCTCTGGACCCATTGTTCATGTGGTGAGGCCTGAGAACTACAAGTTAAAGGAAGTGAGTGCGCTGGGTACCCACAACATACCCATGTTCTCCAACCTCTCGACACAAGCATCAAGTGAGAATGCCTGAGGTGGTGGCTAGGAGGCCATCGGACATGTGGATGGATGACATGGCCCTTTATTGATGATGCACTACTTGGGAGGAGGTAGATAATGATAAAAGTAGAAGATGACAATTGTAACTGTCTCGTATCTGTCTAACCTACAGCGAATGGATCCTCAAGGAACCCATGTTCTGCAATCTAGTGTGGACCATATGCAGAATCTGAAAAGGAAGTCAAGGCAGTTGCAGACTTCATCCGTAACCACAGTTCAATCATCAAGGCTTATCTCACAATTCATTCATATGGACAGAAATGTTTGTTCCCATACTCCTACACTTATTCATTGGCATTTAACAATAACGAACTGGTAGGAATTGCATCTCAGAAAAGAACTCATAATTTATTAAAGCTATTTCATTGATTATTACATTAAGGGGCTTGACATTGTGGTAATGTCATCAGACTGGTAGTGCAGAACCTTAGGTTAATGTTCTAGGGTCATCAGTTTGAATCCCACAGTGGCAGGTGGTGACGTTTGGATTCAATAAAGTCTGGAATAACAGTTGTTAGGCTTACCACATTGATTCCTGGGAATAGCAGGACTGACATATGAGGGGAATCTGAGTCAGTTACAATTGTATTCACTGGAATTTAGAAGATTGAGGGGGAATCTTGTAGAAACCTATAAAATTCTAAACAGGTCGAGACCGGTTAGATGCAAGAAGGATGTTCTCAATGGTGGGAGAATCCAGAACCAGGGGTTTGTGTTTGAGGATAAGGGCTAAACCTTTTAGGTTGATGAGGAAAAGTTTCCTCCCCTAGAGAATGGTGAACCTATGGAATTTTGACCCCACCTGCTGAAAGTGTGTTTTCAAGAAGGGCTTTGTTATTACTCTTGTAGCTCAAAGGGTCAAGGGATATGGGGGAGGATGGGATTACGGTATTGAGCTCGATAATTAGCCATGATCATAATGGATGGGCTGAACAGCTTACTCCTGCTCCTGTCTCCTGTGTTTCAATGTTGGCTCCTTGTCCTCATGTCACAACTGTGTAGTTTGGATAGACCTTGATGCATCCTATTACAATGTTGTAGCCACTGCTTCATTTATTATCTGTCATTCACTGGAAAATACTGTTTTTATGCATGGCACAGAATCATCTGCACAGAAGGAGGCCATTCAGCCTATCATAACTTGTGCTTGCTCTCTGTCAGAGTTACGAATTATACACTCTCCCCTGTTGTCTACCCCCGAGCTGTGCATGGTTTTCCCTCTGAGGTATATATCCAAAATGCTTTTGAAAATTTTCTCTTAAATTGGCTTTCACCACCCATTTAAGAGCAGGAGCAGGTCAATTGCCATGTTGAAGGTGCTCCATCATTGGTTATGAAATCAATTATTGGCTGAGCCTCCATCTCAATGCCACATTCCTGCTTTCTTTCCATATCCCTCGATGCCTTTAAAATATGTCAATCTTTTTACTCAGTGACCTGGCTTCCACAGGATTCTGTGATCATGAATTTTTCAGTTCACCACCCTTTTAGTGAAGAAATGTGAACCTACTCTATGAAGGCCAGTATGCTGTCACCAAGTCACCCTTTATTTGCATGTGCACAGTACATGACACTGACCCAGCTGGTTCAGAGCCAGCTCCTAGAGTGAGCAGAACCTCTGCCACTCCTGTTAATATCTGTCAGCCAGGGCTCCCTGATTGGGCCTGCTAACCCAGTCCAATCAGGGAACTCATTCTATTTAGCCCACCTAGCTGACCTTGCTCCAATCGTTGCAAAATGTTTCCTTAGCTTATTGTAAAAATGGCCTCCTAACTAGCTACCTAAAAAGAACTCTTCACTTCCTTCCATTTCTTGCCTATTTTCTTTTCAGCGTGAACAGTTTTTTGCCGCCTGTTCTAATCAAAGTCACTCCTAATTTTAAATACCACTCTCTTAAATTTCTAACCTCTGTGCCCTAAGGAAAATAATCCCAGTTTCTCCAAACTTTCCACAGAACTGAATTCCCTCATTTTTAAAAAGAAGTCATTTACAGGATGAGGGAGTTGCTGGGCAGGCCAGCATTTATTGCCCTTCCCAAATTGCCCACAGAGCAGTAAAGAGTCAACCACGTTGCTGTGGGTCTGGAGTCACATGCAGGCCAGACCCGTTAAGGCTGGTAGTTTCCTTCCCTAAGAACGTTAGTGAGCTAAATGAGTTTGTCCTGAGAATCGACAATGGATTCATGGTCATCATTATGCTGTTAATTTCAGATTTTCCCCGAATTCAAGTTCCACCATCTGCCATGGCAGGATTTGAGCCTGGGTCCCCAGAACATTATCCCCGTTCTGGACCAATAGTCCAGTAATAATAGCATTTGACCATCACCTCCACTAGCTTAGTAAAATTCAGGTGAATTTCTTCTCTGTCCCCTCTCCAAAGCTTCGCGAGTGCATTTTTTCCTCACTATTTGTAAAACCTAAGATCCTGAATGCCTTAAGCATTATTTTTTAAATCAACCTGTCCTGCAGCCGTCACCAATTTGTGTACAAATTGTGCAGCCCCGTGTGCAATTTAAGAAAGACCTAGGTATTCACGGTTGGAGAGGCAGGAAGGAGGATTATGAATTCCAAACAGTAAGTTAGCTTGGTTTAATCAGCCCAGCTCCATCTCTTTGGTTGAATAATTTTATAAAAACCAAAAGAACTGCGGATGCTATAAATCAGGAACAAAAATAAAGTTACTGGAAAAGCTCAGCAGGTCTGGCAGCATCTGTGAAGGAAAACAGAGTTAATGTTTCGGGTCTGGATCTGAGGAAGGGCCAAAGGACCTGAAACGTTAACTCTGTTTTTTCCTTCACAGATGCTGCCAGACCTGCTGAGCTTTTCCAGCAACTTTGTTTTTGTTGTTGAATAATTTTATGTTGGCTTTCCTCATTTTTCCTTCGGAAAGGTATCACTTCACACTTTGCTACGTTAAATTTAATCTACCATGTGCCAATGCGTCAGCACTGAATTATACAAAGAACATAAGAACACAAGAACTAGGAGCAGGAGTAGGCCGTCTGGCCTTTCGAGCCTGCTCCGCCATTCAATAAGATCATGGCTGATCTTTTCGTGGACTCAGATCCACTTACCCGCGTTCTCACCGTATCCCTTAATTCCTTTATTGTTCAAAAAAAATCTACCTTTTCTTTAAAAACATTTACTGAAGTAGCGTCAACTACTTCACTGGGCAAGGAATTCCATAGATTAACAACCCTCTGGGTGAAGAAATTCCTTCTCAGTTCAGTCCTAAATCTGCTCCCTCTAATCTTGTGGCTATGCCCTCTTGTCCTAGCTTCACCTGCCAGTGGAAACATCCTCTCTACTTCTATCTTATCTATTCCCTTCATAATTTTATATGTTTCTATAAGATCCCCCCTCAATCTTCTAAATTCCAATGAATATAATCCCAATCTACTCAGTCTCTCCTCATAAGTCAACCCCCTCAACTCTGGAATCAACCTAATGAACCTCCTTTGCACCCCCTCCAGTGCCAATACATCCTTTCTCAAGTAAAGAGACCGAAACTGCACACAGTACTCCAGGAGTGGCCTCACCAGCACCTTGTACAGCTGCAACATAACCTCTCTGCTTTTAATTTCAATCCCTTTAGCAATGAAGGACAAAATTCCATTTGCCTTCCTAATTACTTGTTGTACCTGCAGACCTACCTTCTGTGATTCATGCACAAGGACACCCAGGTCCCTCTGCATAGCAGCATGCTGCAACTTTTTACCATTCAAGTAATAACCCTTTTTACTATTACTCCTATCAAAATGTATGACTTCACATTTATTTGCAGAATATGTTCCAGTGTAGATAAATGTGAAGCTAGCAAAGTACAGTAGGTCAGACAGTGGCTAAAGCTCAGGAAAGTCAACGTTTCAGACCCAATCCCCTCCCCAGTCCTGATGAAGGCTTTTGGCCCGAAATGTTGGCTTCTCTGCTCCTCTGATGCTGTCTGACCTGCTGTGCTTTTCCAGCTCCACATTGTTTGGCTCTCGCTTCCAGCATCTGCGGTCCTTACTGTCTCCATATGTCCAACGTACTCTTATTGTGGAGAAACAGAAGAGTGTATTTGATGATATTGTAAAATCGATTAGCTCCAGATTTGTGGGTTTTGGCTGGGAGGTGGGTTAGGCTTTCTCTCTTGACATTTATCACTTCTGATCTCCCTACAATAGGAAATATGTTATTAAACTTGAAAAGGTGCAGAAAAAATTTACAAGGATGTTGCCAGGGTTGGAGATCTTGAGTTATTAAAGAGAGGCTGAATAGGCTGGGGCTATTTTCCCTGGAGTGTCTGAGGCTGAGGGATGGCCTTATTGAGGTTTATAAAATCATGAGGGGCATGGTTAGGGTGAATAGCCAAGGTCTTTTTCCCAGGTTAGGGGAGTCCAAAACTAGAGGGCATAGGGTTAAGGTGCGAGGGGAAAGGTTTAAAAGGGACCTAAGGGCAACTTTTTCACACAGAGGATGGTTCGTGTATGGAATGAGGTGCCAAAGGAAGTGGTGGAGGCTGGTACAATTACAACATTTAAAAGGCATCTGGATGGGTACATGAATGGGAAGGGTTTAGAGGAATTTGGGCCAGATGCTGGCAAATGAGACTCGATTTATGTAGGATATCTGGTCAGCATGGCTGAGTTGGGTCTGTTTCTGTGCTTTACATCTCCATGACATTACCCCACTTAATGTTTGGACAGTTTGATGGTGAATGACCAAGCTCATTACAATTTTGAAGCAGGGGCTTTCTCTGCAGAGTCTTGCGTTGTGATATTTGTTATATTTAATAATCAGGTTTGATACTTCATGTTTCTATTTTCAGGCTAACCTTGCTCAGAATGCAGTCCAGGCTTTGAAAAGTCTTTATGGAACTGAGTATACCTTTGGTTCTGGATTGAGTTCAATGTGTGAGCACCTTTTTTTTTAATGATTCATGATGCTTAACAATGAATATTGACATTGCACTTTTTTTGTGACCTCCATTTCCAAGCCTAAGCTACATATTAGTGCTGTAACAGTGCTGTACTGTGTTGAAGTGCTGTGCTATTGAGTTCTACATAACCACTGAGAATATAGCAGCAGGCAGTGACTAGTGGGGTGCCACAGTGATCAGTGCTGGCACCCCAACTATTCACAATATATATTAACAATTTGGATGAGGGAACAAAGTTTTGGTCTTCTTTTCTGAGGAAGGATGCTCTTGCTCTCGACGGGGTGCAGTGAAGGCTGATTCCGGGGATGGTGGGTCTGACACATGAGGGCAGATTGACTGGGTTGGGATTGTTTTCACTGGAGTTCAGATGGATGAGGGCGGATCTCATAGAGACTTATAAAATTCCAACAGGACTAGACAGGGTAGATGCAGGGAGGATGTTCCCGATGGTGGGTGTGCTCAGAACCAGGGGTCACATTGTGGGGATTCGGGGTAGGCGATTTAGGACAGAGACGAGGAGACATTTCTTCACCCAAAGAGTGGTGAGCCTGTGGAATTCATTATCACAGGAAGTAGTTGATGCTAAAACATTGAATGCATTCAAGAGGCGACTAGATATAGCGCTTGGGGAGAATGGGATCAAAGGTTATGGGGAGAAAGCAGGATTAGGCTATTGAGTTGGACAATCAGCCATGATTGTGAAGAATGGCGGAGCAGGCTCGAAGGGCCGAATGTCCTCCTTCTGCTCCTATCTTCTATGTTCTATGTTATGTTACTTAAATTAAGTACATATTTAGTAGAGCAGCAAATGCAGCACAGCAATCAGGAATTTCAGTTTAAGGAGCAGTGTACAGGTAAACATAGAAACATAGAAGCATAGAAACATAGAAGATACGAGCAGGAGGAGGCCATTCGACCCATCAAGCCTTCTCCGCCATTTTTCATGATCCTGACTGATCATCCAACTCAATAGCCTAATCCTGCTTTCTCCCCATAACCTTTGATCCCATTCACCCCAAGTGTTATATCTAGTTGCCTCTTGAATACATTCAATATTTTGGCATCAACTACTTCCGGTGGTAATGAATTCCACAGGCTCATCACTGTTTGGGTGAAGAAATGTCTCCTCGTCTCCGTCCTAAATCGTTTACCCTGAATCCTCATACTGTGGCCCCTGATTCTGGACACACCCACCATCAGGAACATCCTTCCTGCATCTACACTGTCCAGTCCAGGTGGAATTTTAATAAGTCTGTATGAGATTCCACCCCCCACCATCTCATTTGTTTGTAAATGTGTTCTGCAGATAATTTGCTCACATCTATAGAAGCGCGTTACAAGAGGTTTATTCAATCTTCCTTTTATCTCACCCTCCATTTCTAGGGTCATTTAAGTGGGAAAATGCTCTTGCAATATCTCTGTGTTAAAAGTTGTAGCGTTTTGGCTAATGAAGCATGCATGGAGTTGACAGGGGATAGAGTAGAACCCTAATCCCAGTACCCACCAATCACTAGAAGATCTGTCTTGTCAGGCCAATTAATTTTGAGAGATCTCGTTGTGTTGCCAGTAGAACAGAATGAATTTGTAGCTTCTCCTCTTGTGAAGCTGGGCGCTGCCATTATTTCTGCAATATGAGTGGCATCATTCATTAGTGCAATGAATAAGCAACAGTTACTTGGCCAGTTCAAATGCCTGTCACTTGCTGTCTTTGAAATAAACTCAAAAGGCACAAAAGTAAAGATTTTTATCTTAAAAAGAGGATAGGAATTGAAGTACGGGTTACGGTACTGTCACACAAGTAGCAACTTTCTTGTTTGACATTGACAGTGGCACATGCCGTGGAAGAGACCTGCAAGACTAGAAAGAAAGAAAATTTACAAACTACATTGGAATTTAGGCCTGATGGAGAGGATTTTCAGGGAGGGAGTGTCAGGAACAGGCTGCCAGAAGTAATGGTGGAGGTGATTACAATTTTGTCATTTAAGAAACATTTAGACAGGTACATGGACGGGAGAGGTATGGAGGGATATGGACCAAACGCAGGCAACGGGGACTAGATTAATTGTGAAAACTGGGTAGAATGGGCAAGTCGGGCCAAAGGGCCTGTTTCCATGCTGTAGACCTCTGTGACTCTAATTGGCTCTCAAAAGAGGAAAGCAGACTCTGAACCTGAGGTATTTCCAACAGGGGGTCGCAGGCCTCCTTGCACATTGGAAAGGAGTCACTTTAAGACCTTTGAATACGCCCCTTTATAAGATCCTTACCCTGACATCTTAAACCTCTCAGACGTACACAGCTGCACCTGAAAATCTAGACAGACGTGCCCTTGTTTTGGAGCCGAACACTGAACAACAGAATCTTTATTCCACTTGTAAGCACCACACAAACATGGTTCAGAAAACAACACAATAAGAAACAGCAGAGTAACACCAGACTCGAGATACACATCGATTGTGTACCAGAATGGTGTTTTTCTCCTTTAGAGTGCTGTGTTTTGTTGCTTACCCCTAGCTTTCGACTAGGCTGGGGCTAAGAGCTGGGTTTGATGTTAGCCTGGGTATCATCGCATATGCCCTCTGAGGCCATGAGAGTGCAAGGATCGCAGGGACTTCTGCACTGTGGCATTCTGATGTACTGGTACCACTCGGCAGGGTGGCTACTGCCATTATCAGGAGGGGAGGCTTCAGATACAGATAGTCGCTGCCAACATGAGGAACACTCATTCTGACTCGCTGTAGATGAGCTGAATCCCTAGTTGGTCTCTGGTTTACCTGCTATCCTGCACTGGCAGTGCTTGGCATGGGTCAAGCACCTGCACGTCAAAAATTATACCCAGGAACCCTTCATTGAGAGGCTGATGTGGCTCTATATAAGAAACCAATGCCTCAGTGGAGGATGCCACATATAGCAAAGCAAGGGAGATAGCAATGCTCATAGAAACATTGATATCAGGAGCAAGAGTGGACCATTCAGCCCTTCGAGACCCTGCTCCACCATTCAATATGATTGTGGATGATTATCCAACTCAGTCCCCCAGTTCCCTCTTTCTCCCCATATCCTTTGATCCCTTTTAGTTCTAAGAATGATATCTAACTCCTCCTTCTTGGAAACTTTCAGTATTTTGGCCTCAATCTCTCCCTGTGACAGATTTCCACATACCCGTCACTCTCTGGGTGAAGAAGGTATGGCCTGGTGGATGTCTCCATTGTCCTTTCCAGCAGGAGCACTCTGTTTGGGAGCTTCGCTCAATCTCCAACCACTTCCCATTGGATCATCAAGGTTTGCTGCCTGTCAGATGACTCTGGAGGCTCATTATCAGTCCAGGCTCAGCACCTTCCTGGTCTCCCACATTCCTCCTGGAATGTCACCCCCTCTGACCCCTGACTCTATTGTTCAGGGCTCCACTGATTTCATAAATTGACAGGGCAGAAAAGGCCCTTTCGCTCATCGAGCCTGCACCGACATAACTACCACTAACGGGGCGCTAATCCCAATTTCCTGCACTTGTCCCATATCCTTGAATGTTAGGATATTTCAAGTGCTCATCCAAATTTTTTTTTAAAAGTTGTAAGGTTTCTGTCCTCCACTTCCTTCCCAGGCAGTGCATTCCAGATTCCCACCACCCACTGCGTGAAAGAGGTTTTTTTCTCCCAAATCCCCTTTGAATCTCCTGCACCTTACCGTAAAACTATCCCCCGTCGTGGTTGACCCCTCAACCAAGTGGAACAGCTGCTCTCTATCCACCCTGTCTACATCCCTCATAATCTTATATACCTCCATCATGTCCCCCCTCAGGCCTCTCTGCTCTAGAGAAAAACAATTCAAGTCTATTCAGTCTTAGCTGTGTCTAACCAAGGTGAACACTGAGGTGTATTTAAGACACACCGTCCCCAGAGGTAGGGGGCCTCTTTTTGAGTACAGGTGGAGTTAGGAAACCTGGGTGTCTACAGCTGGAGAAACTAAGAGGAGGTTTGCAATTTCCAAACATAACTTGAGCAGCACAGCTTTTATATTTAAATGAGATAGTAAGACCTGCCGATGCTGGAGTCAGAGATAACAGTGTGGAGCTGGAGGAACACAGCAGGCCAGGCAACATCAGAGGAGCAGGAAAGTTGACGTTTTGGGTCGGGACTCTTCTGAAGGTTCTGAGGAAGGGTCACCGGACCCGAAACGTTAACTCTGTTTTTTCCTTCACAGATGCTGCAAGATCTGCTGAGCTTTTCCAGCAACTTTGTTTTTGTTCCACACTGCGATATCTTTGATATTTAAATGCTTCCTCCCTCCCCCTTGAAATCCATGGCTAAACATGAACGCTGCAGCTTGATTCAATTCAATGCTTCACAAAACCATGAACATAGATCTGAGAGCAAGGTGCTGCTTTCAATCTTTGTGGAATGTCTAAAACCCACTGAAGGCACCTATACATGCCACCTATGAGGTTTTTCAGTCTCCCTTTTTTTAATTCATTCACAGATGTGGGTATTGCTATCTAGGCCAGCATTTATTGCCCATCTCTAATTGCCCAAAGGGCAGTTAAGAATCAACCACATTGCTGTGTGTCTCAAGTCACATGCAGGCCAGACCAGGTAAGGACGGCAGTTTCCTTCCTCAAAGGGGTTGATGAACCAGATGGGTTTTCCTGACAATCAACAATGGTTTCATGGTCATCATTAGAATTTTAATTCCAGATTTTTTTTTAAAAGTTGAATTTAAATTCCACCCTCAGCCTCAGCAGGATTTGAACCCAGATCCCTAGAACTTGACCCGGGTCTGTGAGGTAATGGCCTGCTGATAATACTACAAGGCCATCCACAGCCCTGCCAATATCCTATTGCACTGTCCTTCCAGCCATGACACTGTGTAAATTTGAAGTCAACACCACTCTGCTGCACATGTCTTAATTCAATCTATGTAGGCAGCATGGTGACTCAGTGGTTAACACTGCTGCCTCACAGCACCAGGGACCCAGGTTTGATTCCACCCTTGGGTGACTGTGCAAATTTCACAGAGATATTCTCCCTGTATCTGTGTGGGTTTCTGCCAGGTGTTCTGGTTTTCTCCTACAATCCAAAGATGTGTAGGTTATGAGGATTGGCCGTGAGAAATGCAGGATTACAGGTATTAAGATAGGGAAACGGGTCTGGGTGGGATGCTTTTTGGATGGTGAGTGTGGATTTGATGGTCTGAACAGCCTGCTTCCACACTGTAGGGAATCTATGAAGTACTACCACCCTACCCTTGCTTCTGCTCTCTGAATGCCTTAATATTTTAAAATTCTCATCCTGGTGTTCAAATCCCCTGTAAGATTTCAGGTATTTTAGCTCCCCTTTTGAGGCAGGATTAGACTTGGAAGCAAAGTTTGGTTATGATTCAATTTTATCAGGTCTAAGTCAGGACAAGTTTATTAAATTGCCAGATGAGCCAGGTGCACAAACCTGGGCAGTTATTTAGTTTAATGTGGAATATAGTCCCATGTCAGGAATTGGATGGCAGAGCATGGAAGAGTGATTTCTCTCACAGCTTTTGTCTTTGAGTTTCTCTTCTCTCCCTCTCTCTTTCTTGTGCACTCACTCTCTCACTCCCTCACTCCCTCTCTTGTCTCTTGTTTTAGTTTCTGGACTTTGTTTTTCTCTCTGTCTATGAAGAAGACAAATCCAGGGCATCCTTTATTCAAATAAAAGCCAAAAGTACCAGGTGGCCACATGGTTCAGTGCATAGCACTGCTGCCTTACAGCACTAGGGAACTGGGCTCGATTCCACCCTCGGGCGACTGTCTATGTGGAGTTTGCACATTCTCCCTGTGTCTGCGTGGGTTTCCTTCAGGTGCTCCGGTTTCCTCCCACAGTCCAAAGATGTGCAGGCTAGGGTGGGTTGGCCGTGCTAAATTGCCTAAAGTGTCCAGGGATGTGTAGGTTAGGTGGGTTAGCCATGGGAAATATAGGGAGATGGGGATGTGTAGGATGCCATTCAGAGGGTCGATATGGACTTGTTGGGCAGAATGGCCTGTGTCCACACTGTAGGGATTCTGTGGAATCTGTTGATGTCACTCAGAGACAAAATTAGAAAATGGTGGGAAAGCTCAGCAGATATGGCAGCTTCTGTGAAGAGAAATCAGAGTTAATGTTTTGGGTCGAGTGACCTTCCTCAGTATCCTTTATTCAGCCTGTTATTCCAAATAACCCCTCCCTCATCCCAATTCTCTTCACCCCCATGAGTGAAGACACTGTCCTTGGCCAACCAGGAATAGTTTTTGTGACTGTTGCTAGGCTTATGTATTTACATAAGTTCTTCTGGATCTGAACCCTTTTATGGGTTATTTATTCAGTAAAGAGAGGCATGCAGTTCTTCATAGATATCCTTCAGCATATCTGGCCGTTTTTGTTGTGAATGAGCTTTTTATTAGTTGACCTGAACTCCCAGAATTCCTTTTACTATATTGTGCCCTACTTTAAGTTGTGTTATTTTACTATTCTACAAAGAAAGGCATCTTTTAGAGTCAAGTGTTAGCAAACTACAATGTTAATATTAACAATTAGTACCCTTGTCAACAGCCTAATTATTGTTCACTCTCAAAACATTGGAAACATGGGCACTCAGATGCAATGAGACAAGGTCCTGTATCATGAAGAGAAGGGCTGAGGCCTGTGTGAGATATTTCAATAGAAACATCTAGAATGTGGTGCTTGCCACCACAAAGCGCAGTTGAGGCAAATAACATAAATACCTTTGTTTTTAGAAAGGGAAACTAGATAAGCACATAATGGTGAAAGGGACAGCAGGAGATGTAGATAGATTTTCAAAATAGGGTGGGAAAAGAGTCTGCTGGCGCATCACCATCATCATAAATTAATTGGCTGAATGGTCTAGTATTGTGTAAATTGTACATAATGCAACATGGGAAAAAAACCTGATGGAACACAGGGTCCATCATGGTGTTGAAATTTATTTTCTTTTACAGACAGTATACTGTCTGCTTCTCTCCAAACCTTAAGGCCTCCTGTCCAAGACAGGGAAACCATTAAATTTTGCAAATGATACATACTGGTCCAACCTACCTTGCATATCTTTAAAATGGGGCACCAGTGTGACCAGTTCCAAATATTGGAGATTCTGTGCTGTTATTTTGATCATAGATCATAGAATCCCTACAGTGTGGAAACAGGCCCTTTGGCCCAACAAGTCCACACTGACCCTCAGAGCATCCCACACAGACCCATCCCCCTTTAACCCCCCTAATCTAGGCATCCCTGAACACTATAGGCAATTTAGCATGGCCAAGCCACCTAGCCTGCACATCTTTGGACTGTGGGAGGAAACCTACGCAGACACAGGGAGAATGTGAAAACTCCACACAGCCAGTCGCCCAAGGGTGGAATCAAACCCGGGTCCCTGGTGCTGTAAGGCAGCAGTGCTAACCACTGAGCGACTGTGCCATCTGGTACCATTCCTGGGATGGCCTGGTGGTATTATCACTAGACTATTAATCCAGAGACCCAGATAATGTTCTGGGGACCCAGGTTTGAATCCTGCCATGGCAGATGGTGGAATTTGAATCTAAAGGAAAAAAAATCTGGAATTAAGAATCTACTGATGATCACTGTTGGAAAAACCCATCTGGTTCACTAATGTCGTTTGAGGAAAGAAATCTGCCATCCTCACCTGGTCTGGTCTACATGTGACTCCAGACCCACAGCAATGTGGTTGACTCTCAATTGCCCTCTGAAATGGCCTAACAAGCCACTCAGTTGTACCAATCGCTACAAAGTCTCAAAGAAATGAAGCTGGACGGATCACCTGGCATCGACCTGGGCAATGGAAAAAATGACAGCAGAAACAGCCCTGTCCCTCCCTAACGGCATTGTGGGTCAACCCACAGCAGGTGGACTGCAGCGGTTCAAGAAGGCAGCCCACCCCCACCTTCTCAAGGTGCAACTAGGGATGAGCAATAAATGATGGCCCAGCCAGGAATGCCCACATCCCACAAAAATGAATAAAAAAAAAACATAGCATTGAGTAGTATGGCACTCAACAGCTCCTGTGTAATATCCAAAGTCCTATCCAATGGGTATCAAGGATTGGGGTAGATAACCTGGTCTCTATGTGACACATCCTTTAATAAAAATCGCTTCACTGACTTTTCAAAAAATTTTTTTTACACTAGATCTCGCTTCTGGTGGTTTGGATGACTGGGCCTATGACCTTGGCATCAAGTACTCGTTTACCTTTGAACTCCGTGATACAGGCAAATATGGTTTCCTGTTGCCTGAAACTCAGATCAGACCAACCTGTGAAGAAACCATGCTGGCTATCAACTACATCGCCACTTATGTTCTCAACCATCTGTACTAACACGTAGACGGAATGATGTCTCTGGACTCACTTTTAAAGTTTAAGGTTTAGAGCTGAAATCCTTGCAGGCGGAAGGATTCAAGATATTTTTTTAAAAAGTAATAGCGCACAAAATGCACCTGAAAAGTCGAGCAGGAACATTCTGAATACGATGGTTGACAGTGTGAATGTGGGGAACGTTCCTAATGACTGGGGAGACCAAAACCAGGGGTCACAGTTGAAGGATGCAGAGGGAGGACCTATAACAAGTACCATGGGGCCTGTATCATAGTTTCCCAATTGTGCAAGTGCCCACGAGGATTTTCTACCCTGCTGTGTCTCAGGATAGCATAACACGGATAAAATGAAAGAGAGAAAGCTCCTCAATACAAACCAATGGAGCCAGACTTGAACTAAAATATGGGTTAAAGATTTGAGAGTGCACCAGCATGAAATTTTTGAGATGCAGTACACACAAGTTAGGAGCAGGAGTAGGCCATTCAGCCCCCTCGAGTCTGCTCTGCCATTCAATAAATCAGCTGTGATTGGGCAGTCACAACCCCAGGTTCCCTCTCACCTCCAATACCCTTTGACCCCCTTGTTTGTCAGTAGGTGCAGCTCTATGAATGCAGGCCCCTGCATGTTACTGAGGAGAGAATAGGAGCAGGAGTAGGCCATTTGGCCGTTCGAGGCCTGCTCTGCCATTCAACATGATCATGGCTGCCCTGATTTTAACCTCAATGCCTATCTCTGATAATCTTTTTCTCCTTTGGTAATCAAGAATCTAACTGCTTCTGCCTTAACAAAAATAATTAAGGCCTGCTCTGCCATTCAGTATGATCGCGGCTGATCATCAGGGCCCTGTTCCTGCTTTCACCCCTATACCCTTTGATCCCTTTAACCTTAAGAACTAGATCTAAAGCATTCAGGGTTTTAGCCTCAACCACTTTCTGTGGCAGAGAATTCCACAGGGTCACCACTCTCTGGGTGAAGACATTTCTCCTCCTCTTAATCTTAAATGGCCAATCCCATATCCTTAAACTCTGACCCCTTGGTTCTGCACTCTGTGGTTAACGGGAACATCTTCCTGCACTTACACTGCCTAGTCCTGTTAGAATTTTATACCTTTCCATGAGATTTTCTCTCATTTTTCTATATTCCACTGAATATAGTCCTCCCCTGATCCAGTCTGCCATCAGGGGCGTGCACCCTGTTATAGTGCTCTGCCTGCCTTTTTTTTAAATTCCCAAAATAGATTTTGCAAAGGATTAACTTGTTGCTCGCTGGTTGGTTCACCTGTCAGTGTCCTGATTGGCTATTCCAATGGAAAGCTCCAAACGGATAATACAAGACTTCTTCAAAATTCTGGAACAAGAACAGAAGTTGCTGGAAAAGCTCAGCAGGTCTGGCAACATCTGCGAAGAAAAAAAATCAGAGTTAACGTTTCAGACGCGATGACCTTTCCTGTTCTGAGGAAGGGTCACCAGAGTCGAAACGTTAACTCTGATTTTTTCTTCACAGATGCTGCCAGACCTGCTGAGCTTTTCCAGCAACTTCTGTTCTTGTTCCTGATTTACAGCATCTGCAGTTCTTTCGGTTTTTATTTTCTTCAAAATTCACCAATGGAACGTGGGCGTCGCTGGCTCGGTCAGCATTTATTGCCTGTCCCTAGTTGCCTTTGAGAAGGTGGTGGTGAGCTGCCTGCTTGAACCGCTACAATCCAAGGACATGCTCAGTTTGAAGTCCCTTCAGCCGTGGCACTGTGTAATGGACTTCCTCTTTGGACGAAGGTGCTTTGTTAAAAATGAGATGGAATTGTCTCCATCCCACCCCCACAAGTGGCCGTTGGATCTGTCATTGGGAACCGTAATGCCCTGTCAAAACTCATCATAATTTTACAGTCTCCTTTAACAGAATGGTAAAAAAAAACACTCTCACTGTTTTGGCTGGGGATATCAGCTCTGAAAAAAAAATGCTGTGAAGGTGACTTTGAAAGCAAAATATTTGAAATAGTTGGGGGTTAGGTCATTTCTAAAGAGACAGAGTGAGAAAAGAGAGTGGGAGAGAGAAAATGGGATGGCGGTGTGAAATAAACAGAGTGGGAAAGGTAGGAAAGTGGTGGAGAATGGATCAGACAGAAGTATTGAAGGAATGAATTGAACTGAAGTGAGTCCTTGTGAAATTTGTATACAACCACTGTGAAAGTAAAGGCTTTTAATATGGGGGTTGGTATTTGGTTATATTCAACGAACTGGAGTGTAACTCCCTGAGAGATGGAAGGAGTTGAATAGGAAATGCTGGAGCTAAACCTGGGTTGTCAATGGATTTGAGTTTTTGTTGTAATAAATGGTTAGGGTTGCATTAAAGAAACTTAAAAGGAGCCAGTGTTTACCTCAATCATTAATGGAGTTTAGGAATTACAATGTGCCCAGGCTGTCACTTCTAGACACATCGATTCCAATGTACTTTTTTGTGTTTTATTATTGATTTTTATTTGTAAAAATACAGAGTTGTTTAGATTCAGGTTAATCGAGCAACCCAAACAAGTTTATTGACAACCTAGATGGCAACTTTCAAAGACAGATAACTGTGTATGCAACCTCCTTTTAGCTTACTTTTTGCTGGACTCTTTATAGTACAGTAACCTTTTAAGTAACTGGCACATGTGGGGCCAGGAGTATACCAGCTGATCAAATATTTTGGATAATTAAGAGGTCTACATAATTAATGTAAAAGCACACGCTAAGTAATAGAAGCATAATGCAGGACATCACTGTTATACTTTATTTACGGAGTGAATTATTTAATTAATAATGCAACTTTCCCCGAAACAAAACTTGCCAGCAGAGAGCCTGCTCACTTGCACCATCAACTGAATACTCGACATTATGGTACTTCAGGAGAAATTGACTCAATTGAATCAACTGTTGATATTTCGTGTGGCCGTTCAATTAAACAATAGTGTATTTACATTGAGGTAAATACATTAAAAACTATAATAATTAGACAGAATAGTACAGTAAATTTTGAGGTATTTGAGGGATTTATAACTTTTGCTGGTTTATCAAGAGTGCTGGCTCATAAGGTGCAGGTTAAACAGAGTGTGCTTTACTTGCTGCTGTGGTTTACATCCTGGCGTTTAGCTCTTTAGCCTATGAAACTCTTAAAACGGCACAGCTCTTAAAGCCTTAACACCCATACTCCAGGCTAGTAACACACATTATAGCTTCCAAAAAGGCATGGCTTTTATTTGACTGAAATTTAAGTTTTCGATATTAATACTGATGTTAAAAAAACCATTGGACTGATATTGATTAGTTACCACAATCTAATTCTACATTTTATAGGTGGGGTAGGCATTGGTAACAGAATGTAAGCTAGTTTTCCTGTGAGCTCCTGGAGCCTAGAATTTAATATTAAACCTGCATTGCTCTTGCAAATGCAATGTCTGCCAATATGTTCAATAGTTATGTGCATATCTTAGAATGTAAGACATCTGCATAAAACCGGTATCTATTCTGAGTTACTATTGAGATACAGAGATACCATGCTGAGTGTCCTTTTAACTTCACCTTCCTTGTTTAAACCTCTCTTTATCTTATTCGCCTTACTCACATTATATAGTTCAAATCAGTCGCTGACATTAACATACACCACTATGCTCAAGAAAAATGCCATTGTTGAAGCTTTACTACTTTTAATCTTACTGATTCTGATGTTTAATAATGCATTCAAAAAATACAGATTACAATACAGATCATTGAGAACTTATTCTTTGAAAAATTGCCAAGAAAATGCTTATCTAATTCAGCAAAACCTTTTGAGTATTATAGAAGTTGAAACACCTTACTTATGATGCTATTGGATTCGAGGACACGTTATACTTTTGGTCTGCTGTAGCTCTTTAATCACTTCTAGAATTTTTCAATTTCCTTCCAGTTTGTAGGCAACGTCTTCTACCAGGTCGATCTCTCCTGAGCACTGTGGGCTGGACCTTGATTTCTGTTCTGCAAGGTAATTGTAAGAGTCCAGCCATGTACCTTAGAGGGCTCAGGAAACATTAGCTATAGTATACTTCACAATCAGTCTTCAGTTTTGGATTTTGCTTTTTGGGTGCTTGCGCTGCGGGCAGGTATTCAACCATTGTCGCCCTCATCGAACCTGCTTCTACTTCATCCACCTTCTGTTGCAGGCATGGAACCTGCTTAGGAACCTGGATGTGGGAGAAGTGAGCATTGCTCCGTTGGGTAGGAGTCCACAAGGGTTCCTCAAAATGATGGCATGCCATTCGTAATGTTCGGAATATTTGAAATTCATTCAAAGGCACAATGGGGGCCAATGTTTCACTGCAGCAGATGGCTTGCCTCATTATGTGTGATTCTCCCGTCCCAGATTCACTCCTCCCAGGAGCAGGAGGAGGCCATCCGGCCCTTCAAAACTGCTCCACCACTCAGTACAATCATGGCCAATCATCCAACTCAATGCCCTGTTCCTGCATTCGCCCTCATACCCTTTGACCCCTCTATTCCTAAAAACTATGTCTGACTCTGTTCTGAAAACATTCGATGTTTTGGCCTCAGTCGCTATCTGTGGCAGAGAATTCCGTAGGCTCACCACTTTCTTGGTGAAGATATTTCTCCTCACCTCATTCCTAATCATCCTACACTACATCCTTAGACTGTGGCCCCCTGGTTCTGTATTCACCAGTCGTCGGGAACATCCTTCCTATGTTCACTCTAGTCCTGTTTGGATGTTATATTTTGCTGGTGGCCTGTGATCTCTGTGGACTTCTTTAAAAATTAAAAATCTTACATTTGCTTCAATTGAATTACCTGCTCGATCAGGGGCTTGTGTGTTAATATATGTAGCTTCCAGTACATGTAAACATGCCCAATTGGCTATCTTAAATTGGTTAAAACAAAAACTCTTGTTGCAGGAAATCTGAAACAAAAGACAGATGTTGCTGGAGAAACTCAACAGATCTGGCAGCATCTGCAGAGAGAAAGCAAACTTTGGTATAGTGTGCCTTTATTTCAACAATACTAAAGGCACACTATATCAAAGTTTTATGGCTTCCAGTCATCAGGGCAATTTGCAAGAGTACCAATTTAAGCGATAAATGGACATTTACACCAAATGAAAGAAGAGTGCTGAATGGTTGGCAAATGAATTCTGATTAGTAGAGGCATTTCTATGCACACATTGATGGTAATTGACAGTCAACTACCGACCTTTGTTTAAATGTTAAACCAGGCATGTTGACTCAGATTTTTCAGAGCACTGCCCTGAGAAATGAACCAGAGAATGGCTGTCACCTATTTTGTTGAATTGAAACAGGCGCAGTGTGTGCACACATTCTTTCTGCCTGTAAAGGACAGGGGCCTGCGTGTTAATATATGTAGCTTCCAGTACATGCAAGCATGCCCAATTGGCTACGTTAAATCGGTTAAAACAAAAGCTCTTGACGCAGGAAATCTGAAACAAAAGACAGATGTTGCTGAAGAAACTCAACAGATCTGGCAGCATCTGCAGAGAGAAAGCAGACTTAACACTGTGGGTCCAGTAACCCTTCTTCAAAACTCAATTCTTAAATTGGTTGTTAATGTAATTCTTTGCCACTCAGGAATATCCAGGAAATGTTCTCCAATTGCAGAATAAACTGAGTTCTGGAGCGTTCCTTTCTGATCCTACAACACACCCCACTCACCAACTCCCCCACACCTACCCTCCCAGGCCCGATCGCCCATTTGAGCAGACCATATTTAATTCTGCCCTATTAATGTATTAAATGATTTTCTGTCGGTACCACAGTCAATGCTAGGACAAGAGGGCATAGCCTCAAGATTAAAGGGAGCAGATTTAGGACTGAATTGAGAAGGAACTTCTTCACCCAGAGGGTTGTTAATCTATGGAATTCCTTGCCCAGTGAAGTAGTTGACGCTTCTTCAGTAAACGTTTTTAAAGGTAAGGTAGATATTTTTTTGAACAATAAAGGAATTAAGGGATACGGTGAGAACGCGGGTAAGTGGATCTGAGTCCACAAAAAGATCAGCCATGATCTTATTGAATGGCGGAGCAGGCTCGAAGGGCCGGACGGCCTACTCCTGCTCCTAGTTCTTATGTTCTTATGTTCAATCATTCTTGGCTTATTTGGAGGGAGTGCAATGATCTATTTGAAAGGTACAAGCCCAGATCTGCATTATTCTCAGTCAACACCCATATATCAATAAGACTGCATTTTATTGTGGGGACACTTTGGAGGATAAAAGTATCCATTAATTTGTTCAGAGATAGTAAGAACTGCAGATGCTGGAGTCAGAGATAACACAGTGTGGAGCTGGAGGAACACAGCTGGCCAGGCAGCATCAGAGGTGCAGGAAAGTTGACGTGTTGGGTCTGAAGAAGGGTCCTGACCCGAAATGTCAACTTTCCTGCTCCTCTGATGCTGCCTGGCCTGCTGTGGTCCTCCATTAATTTATTGCTGTGTTTCACCAAATAGCCCCAAATTCAAGCAGGCTAAAATTTGCCTTCTTACCAATGATATTTCATTAAGGGCATTAAAATTCAGATTAAATTTTCTTTTTAATTACATTGCAAAATCCCTTAGGAAATATCAAGTAAACGAACAATGAAACAACAGTGAATGCCAACAATACATGGGTTCAACATTAACTGTGGGTTACTTTGGTCAAAGTCTTGAAAGAATGGCAGATCTGTTGAGTCATTTCATTTTACCACAACACTTTTCCAAAGTCTCCTACAATATGTAAGGAAACAAAATTCACTTTTTGATGTCATAGAATCCCTACAGCGTGAAAGCAGGCCATTCGGCCCACTGAGTCTGCATTAACTCTCCTAAGAGAATCCCACCCAGATCCACTCCATCCCTGTAACCCTGCATTTCCCGTGGCCAATCCATCTAATCCGCGCATCTTTGGACGGTGGGAGGAAACACATGCAGAGATAGGCAGAATGTGCAAACATCACATGGTTAGTTGCCGGAAGGTGGAATCAAACCTGGGTCCCTGGCACTGTGAGGTAGCAGTGCTAACCACTGAGTCATTGTGCTGCCCTAATGGGGTTTTTTTGAACAACAATAAAATGTGAGCGATGAGGCAGCTAAAATAATCTTTGGCACTTCTAGTACTGATGTTAGTGGTATAGTGAATCCTGAGAGCTGCTAAGAAGTCTGTGTGCCATCGTGTTATGACCTGGGTGGATAGTACTCACTGTACTAGTTGCATGTGGGGTTGAAAACCAACAAATTTGTATCAAACAGCCTTGGGCACGTAAAGATAAACTTCAGAATTGAGATGCAAGATGGAAACTTCAATTTTACTTGTACGCCAGCAATCTCATCAGAGCCTGAACTGGAGACAGGAAACACGTGGCTTGTGAGGGGCCACCTTTTGCTGCTTGTTAACAAAAGCTTTGTACAAAGCGAGGCCATCAGAAAGTGCAGGAGAAAGCCAGTGTGTGATTAAGTGTGCTCTGAGGAAAATGTGATCATGTGCTGCCTGATGGCATCTGTCTGTTGTTGTTCTTGACCTGTGTACAGAGGGGGCAGTTAGCTCATTAGGCTTGCAGTGTAGAGTGATGCCAATAGCATGGGTTCAATTTGTATACCAGCTTTTACCATGAAGCATGGGTGTCACAGTGGGTCAGTGTGCTTAACACTGCCGCCTCATAGCACCAGGGACTTGGTTTGGTTCCAGCCTTGTGAGACTGTGTGGAGTTTGCATGTTCTCCCTTTCCTTCAGGTACTCAGGTTTCCTCCCACAGTCCCAAGGTGTGCAGGCTAGGTGGATTGGCCATGCTAAATTGCCCCGTAGTGTCCAGGGATGTGCAGGCTAGGTGGAATAGCCATGGTAAATGTGGGTTTATGGGGATGCAGTAGAATGGTTTTTGGAGGACCGTTGTGGACTTGATGGACTGAATGGCTTCTTTTTGCACTGTAAGGATTCTATGACTCTCCTTCTCAACTTCTCCACCCACCTTTCATATTTCTCAGATTAAGCCAGCGCCAACCATCTCACTCATGAAAGCATAGGGCTATATGATAACTTTATGGTATACACTACCAAAAATTGATAAAGCACAGCTATTTCCAGATGTGAATGTGATTACAATTTTCAGAAACTCATTGGCTTTATATGCTAACACTTTTAATTAAAAGCAAAATGCTATGGATGCTTAAAGTCTGAAACAAAAACAGAAATTGCTGGAGGAACTCAGCAGGTCTTGCAGCATCTATGGAGAGAGAAACAGAGTTAACATTTCAAGTCCAACATGACTCTTCTTCCAAACTGGACTGTTCCCCATGTACTTTCATTTACTACAGTACAGTCATTTTTCTCCTTTAGAACATAGAACATAGAACGTAGAACATGGAACATGGAACAGTACAGCACAGTACAGGCCTTTCAGCCCATGATGTTGTGCCGACCTATTATCCTACTAAGATCAATCTACACTGCGTTCCCTACATTTTACTATCCTCCATGTGCCTATCCAAGAGTCGCTTAAAAATCTCTAAAGTATCTGACTCCACTACCACTGCCGGCAGCGCATTCCACATGCCCACCACTCGCTGTGTAAAGAACCTACCTCTGACATCTCCCCTATACCTTCTTCCAATCACCTTAAAATTATGCCCCCTCGTAATAGTCATTTCTGCCCTAGGAAAAAGTCTCTAACTATCAGTCTATCTATGCCTGTCATCATCTTGTAAACCTCTATCAAGTCACCTCTCATCCTTCTTCGCTCCAACAAAGAAAGCCCTAGCTCCCTCAACTTTTCCTCATAAGACCTGCCCTCCAGTCCAGGCAGCATCCTGGTAAATCTCCTCTGCACCCTCTCTAAAGCTTCCACATCTTTCCTGTAATGAGGTGACCAGAACTGAACACAATATTCCAAGTGTTGCTGAAGTTGAATTTTGTACTCATTTATATAGATAGAGAAATCTAAATCACATGTCTTTCTGCTTTACAGCTTAATCTTTTATTTTAAGTTTAAATTTGAAAGGGACATTAACCTCGGAGACAAGAAAATGGATAAGAAAGGAGACTGGAAATGGAGGTTGGAAGTATTGAATCTCACATTACCCAGTGTTATGGTTGGAAGACAGGTTGAATAATGGTGAAGTGAGGTGAGCAGAAAATAGACAAAGTGGACAGGGTTTGATGGTGAAGAGTTAGGAACAGTGATAGGAGTGAAGGGTTAGTGGAGATTGAAAAATTGGAGATGCAGTTGAAGTAACTAATACAACCACACGAACAAGGAACTGTTAGGCCATTCAGCCCTTCAAGCCTGCCTTGCCAGTCAATGAAATGATGACTGATCTGATTATACCCTCCACTCCATGTTCCTGCATTTCCCCGATTCATCTTTCATCCGCTTAGTTCATCAAGGATCTATCTATCTCTGCCTTAAAAATATTTAAAGGTTCTGTATCCACTGCCTTTTGGGGAAGGGATTCCTAAAGATTCACAACCCTCTGAGAGAAACGAAAATGGTTCCTCATCTCTGTTTTAAATAGGCAACGAGTTCTGGATTCTTCTGCAAGAGTAATATCTTTTCCACATCCACCAAGTAGAGACCACTCAGGATCTTCTATGTTTCAATTAAGACATCTCTGACTCTTCTAAGCTCCAGAGGATACAGGCTTAACCTCTTTAGCCATTCCTCATAAGGCAGTCTGTTCTTTCCAGGTGTTAGTCTAGTAAACCTTCTCTGAACTGCTCCCAATACGTTAACATCCTTCCCTAAGTATGATGACCATTGTCATACACAGTCCTCCAGATGTGCTGTCACTAAGGCCTTGTACAACTGAAGCATGTGGGAATGGGGGGAAAAATGACAGAGTAGAAAAAAGACCCTTGGAGGGTGACAGTTTTCCAGCAGTCCTCAGATAAACTGTTGCAACTGGTAACTCTTTTCTTCATCATTACCATCCCATCCTAACTCAGAGGACAGAATTAAGGTTAAAAACATACGTGGAAGCAGAACAGAATAGAAACAGAAACACAGACAGAAGAAATTATTGTAGAGATATGTCAAATTTAAATTAAAATATTGAGCTGGAACAAGGAAAGAACTTTGTATTACCTTTAACTTTCTTTGGAGAAAAAACTTAGAAGAAGAGAAAGGAAGACAGAAATAGATTTGGAGAGATAGTGAGAGAAAAAGAACCAGGCAAGAGTAACTATAATTTCTGATTTACAACAGACTAAAAATATGACGAGGAACAGAAAAAGACCCTGAGCTATCTGTTGCCTGCCATTTCAACACTCCACCTTATTCCCTGGCCAATATCTCTGTCTCAGGCTTGCTGCAGTGTTCCATTGAAGCTCAGTACAAGCTGAAAGAACATCACCTCATTTTCTACTTGGAAATTTTGCAACTTCCGGGACTCAGAGTTCAATAACTTTAGGGCTTGAATTCTCCCATGTCCTTCATCCAAATCCCACACACCCGGCCTTGTTATCACATAGTCTGCTATTACACCCACCCATTGTTAGCCACTGACAGTCCCCATTGATAGCTATTGACCCTCCTAGCCGGATCATTGTCTACTCCTTTGTCTGTCCAACTGTTCTTCTTTCTCTTTGGGCTCTATCCCCACCTATCTTTTAGTCCTTACCCCCTCCCCACACCCTCACTTCTGCATATAAACTGACGTTTTCCTAGCTATCATCAGTTCTGAGGGAGGGTCACTGGACCTGCAACATTGACTCTAATTTCTCTCCACAGATGCTGCCAGACCTGCTGAGCTTTTCCGGCAATTTCTGTTTTTGTTTAGGAACATGACTAGTTAATTTTGAAATACCTTAACTCTCTGTTCTTGTGGCACACAAACGTTTAGCTATAAATTCTAAACCTTAAATTCAATTTACATAGATTTTCTGGTGACCATCAAATACTGTCTTCGCACATGGTGGATTAATAGGGATGGTTGAGAACATAAGCGGCAATATAATTGATTGCCAACATGGTTTCTTCACACGTTGGCTTGATCTGGGACTCAGGCAACAAGAAACCATATCTGCCAGTGTCTCGGAGTTCAAAGGTGAAAGAATACTTAATACCTAGATCATAGGCCCAGTCATCGGAACCTCCAGCAGATGGATCTAAGTATGAAAAAGAAAAACATAATAAGCTTATGACTTTTTACACAATATGGCGTCTGGAATACATGACTGATAGAGCTCAGAAAAGTCTTGTATTTCCCAACTATGTTTTTACCAAGCTCTGCTGTTCATCACATAGTTATAGAGAGGAGCTCAACCCTTGACACTTCCAAATATAACAATTTAAAGACAAAGAACATTGATTAGGAATGAAGACTATGGTTGACTTTTTTCTCCCTGAAGTTGAATCAACGAGGCCAAATGCAAGCTTTCGTGCCATTAACCTGCCTGGTAGCATTGTCTCAGTCTGAAGTGCTGATCGGTGTAGCTCATGTACTGAAGGACATAATCGCATCCAGCCATTCAGCAAGCTTCAAATCTTGTTTTACCATTGCTATTAGATGACATTTAACTGAGAAATTGAGAAGGGAATTACTCCTAATTCTCTACCAGTGCCAAAGACAATAAAAGGTAAATGAGATCAGAATGAACAGCCTGTCTATTTCTTAGCAGTGGAGTGACCTATGGCATTTTAACTGTGTGTGCATATTGCATCATGTTGTGTCAGTGCATTAGACTTCACCTTAGTACATCACAGTACCATTCCAGATTGATTGAACTGAGCTTGAGTCTAAATTTGCATGCACGCAAATCAAACCTGGAATACAGTGATTACAAGGTGTAGAACTGGATGAACACAGCAGGCCAAGCAGCATCAGAGGAGCAGGAAAGCTCGTTTCGGGTCTGGACACTTCTTTCATTTTATCCTTGGGAATGATGGGCTGCCCTTCCATAGTGTGCAGTTTTGATTAAGAGAATGGCTACAAGAATGACATCTGGGACTCTCTAACACTTAAAATACAAAAGGGGATTGCACAAAGAGGATTTAATTTTGACGGTTAAGTGGTAATTTGAAGTTTTCAAGACATTAAAGGAACCGATGGAGGTTAGAAGGCATAGCTTTAAGGTGGGAGGAGAAAGATAAAAAAAGGGATCTAAGGAGCAACGTTTTCACCCAGAATGTGGTGTGTGTATGGAATGAGCTGCCAGAGGAATTGGTGGAGGCTGGTACAATTACAACATTTAAAAGATATCTGAATGGATACATGAATAGGAAGGATTGAGAAGGATATGGGCCAAATGCTGGCAAGTGGGACTAGATTAATTTAGGATATCTGGTCGGCATGGAGGAGTTGGACCGAAGGGTCTGTGTCCGTGCCGTACATCTCAATGACTGTATGAGTAGGCAGAGGGAAATTATTTCTGCTGTTTGGGGAATCTAAGATTTGCAAACAAAGCCTTAGTGCAGTAAAGACCTCATTTTCTGGATCCCAAGCATCTGAAATCTACATGCAACTGCATCCAAGATTCCAAAAGGGAATTCTGGATGCTTGACACCTGGATAATGGGGATTTCATCCAATTAGTAAATTAGTAGCAAATGGAAGGGAATAATGGATCAGATGCTTTACTAAAGGTAGCTAATTGATAAAGACAGAATCACCTCAAATGATTAGATACATTGCTATTTATGAGTAGTCCTGGCCCCTTGTTTTTAAAATGCACATTCATTGAGGGGTAGTGGTGAATTGAGTTCTCCCAGCCACCATGGGCATTTCTCATGCAACTTGTAGATTCAGCCAACCAGCCAATCCCATTCTCCATGCAGGCCAGATCCCACGGAGATTACTCAAATAGTGCCTGGCTTTTCAGGAACAAGCATGTTCACAAAATATAGAATCTCCACAGTTTGGAAGCAGGCCTTTCGACCCAACAAGTCCATACCAACCGTCCAAATAGCATCCCACCCAGACCCACCTCATATTCCCACTGCTTAATTCACCTAACCTGCACATCTTTGGACTGTGGAAGGAAACTGGAGGACCCAGGGTAAACCCACACAGATATCGGGAGAATGTGCAAACTCCACACAGACAGTTGCCTGATGGTGGGATTGATGTTGGGTGCCTAGAACTGTGCGGCAGCATATAAACAAGTGAGCCATCATGCCAGTATGGAGTTCTTTTCCATAGACAACAATTTGAAGTTGAGATAGTTGTTAATTCTACATCTGAGATTGATAGATTTTAGTTGACAAAACTTATTAAGGGATATTGAGCGAAAGTAAGGATCTGGAGTTGGATTACAGATCCACCAGCATATAATAAATCATTGGCATGTACGTGGACTGGGTTACCAGTTTGAACTTAGGTTTATTTATGGAGGTTGAGTTGGACTGAGATTTTACAAGCTTACATTATTCAGGAGATAATGATTTTGCGACAGGCAACTCCTATCTATTATTAAAGGTAAACTATAGAAGATCAAAGTCACACACGTAGTGCACTTAAGTGATAATAATTTGTAAAAATTCAAATTCTGGTCAGGGAAGTCCTGGCTTTAATAAAAGAAGGATAATTAATTGTCAGACATTGGTGCATTGCACCTGAACCTCCAGAACCAGGTGTCACAGTCAAAGGATACAAGGTAGGCTGAGCAGAAGAGAAAGGTCTTCACCCAGGCAATGCTGAGTTTGTGGAATTCTCTGTCACAGAAAGTGGTTGAGGCCAAAACATTGAATGTTTTTAGGAAGGAATTAGATATAGTTCTTAGGGATAAAGGGATCAAAGGGTATTGGAGAAAGCGCGAAGAGGGTTCTGAGTTGGATGATCAACCATAATCGAATTGAATGGTAGAGCAGGCTTAAATGACTGAATGCCCTATTCTTGTTCCTATTTTTTATGTTTCTAAGTTTCTATGGCTGTGCTTTTTAAAAGCCACCCAAAAGTGTTGATTTTCAAATAAATTACAAACTGGGTGTAATCAATCTAATATTTCCCTAGATTTTATGACTAGCTTAGAGTTGAATGTAAGCAATTATTGCTTGTTTCCTGGTTGGAATACATGGATTTGACCATTTTTGCGATGATCAGTCAGTAACAACCATTTACACTCATGGATTGCAATGTTCATCTAGTGCTGACATTGCCTATAGCTGTCTCTTTAAGTTGTTAAACAGCTTTGTCCTGCTCCTATATTTCAATGATTACCAATACTTACATATTACGATTGATGCAGGACCATACTCGTATTGAGTTCCATGAAGACTGCTTAAGGCCTTGACAGCATTTCTTGCCAGAGCATTCTGCAAAAAAAAAATCACAGAACAAAGTACAATCATATATGATATTGAAAGTTTTATTTGCTTTTTAATTCTTCATCAATAATTCTAAGAAAGGTTGTTTCTTCATTCGTTTATCACCCAAATAGACCATTGAGCCCAACTGATGCATATTGATGTTTAAGGTTCTTATGAGCCTCCACTTCACTCTAATCGAGTTTTAACAGCCCATTCCTCTGCTTCTTTCTTTCTTTTATCTTGTTTCCATTTCAATCCAACAATTCTTTGTGGTAGCGCATTTGACATTCCAACCACACACTGGGGCAAAAATGTTCTCATAAGAAATAGGAGCAGGAATAGGCCATCTGGCCTGTTGAGCCTGCTATGCCATTCAATAAGATCATGGCTGATCTTTTTGTGGACACAGCTCCACTTACCCATTTGCTCACCATTACCCTTAATTCCTGTACTGTTCAAAATCTATCTATCTTCACCTTAAAAACATTCAATGAGGTAGCCTCAACTGTTTCACTGGGCAGGGAATTCCACAGATTTGTAACTATTTGGGTGAAGAAGTTCTTCCTCAACTCAGTCCTAAATCTGGTCCCTGTTAGTTTGAGGCTATGTCCCCTACTTCAAGCTTCACCCACCAGCGGAAACAACCTCCTTGCTTCTATCTTATCGATTCCGTTCATAGTTTTATAGGTTTCTATAAGATCCCCATCATTCTTCTAAATTCCAACGAATGTAGTCCCAGCCTATTCAATCTCTCCTCATAAGCCAACCCTCTCAACTCCAGAATCAACCTAGTGAACCTCCTCTGCACCCCCTGCAGTCCTCCTGTACATCCTTTCTCAAGTAACGACGCCGAAACTGTACACATTACTCCAGGTTTGGCCTCACCAGCCCTCGATTCAGCTGTAACATAATGTTGCTATTTTTAAACCACATCCCTCTAGCAATGAAGGACAATATTCCATTTGCCTTTTTAATTACTTGCTGCACCCGCAAACCGACATTTTGTGATTCATGCACAAGGACACCCAGATCCCTCCTTTTGTTTTATTCACTTTTGGGACGTGGCTGTCTCTGGCTGGGCCAGCATTTATTGTCTATTCCTAGTTGCCCTTGAGAGGATGGTGGTGAGCTACCTTCTTGTACTGCTGCAGTGTGCATGCTGTTGGTAGACACACAATACCATTTGAGAGGGATTAAACAACACTTTTTTTGGTACATGGCCCTGAGCTTTGTTATTTGTGATCGAATCATGAGGATCACATATGTATGTATTGATTCTGTCACTTGGTCATCTTGAGCTTCAATATTGTTGAATAAAAGAGACACATAAGCATCTCACAAGCCTTCACTCCCTCCACTACCGACACTCAGTAGCAGCAGTGTGTACTATCTACAAGATGCACTGCAGAAATTCGCCAAAGATCCTCAGACAGCACCTTCCATAACCACAACCACTTCCATCCAGAAAGACCAGAGCATCAGACATATGGGAACACCACCACCTCCACGTTCCCCTCCAAGTCACTCACTATCCTCACTTGGAAATATATCGCTGTTCCTTCACTATGGCTGGGTCAAAATCCTGGAATTCCCTCCCTAATAGCATTGTGGGTCAACCTACAGCAGGAGGACTGCAGCGGTTCATGAAGGTAGCTCACCACCACCTTCTGAAGGGCAACTAGGGATGGACAAGAAATGCTGGCCCAGCCAGGAATGCCCACATCCCACAAATGAACTGAAAAAAAAACACACTGTCAAAATTTATTTGTTTTTCCTTTACCAGGACAGAATTGCAAGAATACCAAATCTCAAAAGGAACAACAATTTAACACAATTTATACTATATGTAAAGACACTCAGAAGGATAATGTTACTTGGAACATGGTTTCCACTTGCTAAGCATTTAACACTCACTTTTCTTTTTAGCCATAAATTGTTATTCCCTTTGATATTTGATATTCTTGCAATTCTGTCCTGATAAACATAGGATAAAAAGTGTTGACAGCATGTCTCTTTTTTTCAGCTCTATGTTGCTAAATAGGAGGGAGGTGGAGTATTGGTAGAGGGATTGAGTTCAAGAGCCGTGAAGTTATGCTCCAGCTATACAAAACTCTGGTTCGGCTACATCTGGAGTATTGTGTCCAGTTCTGGTCACCTCATTACAGGAAAGATGTGGAAGCATTTGAAAAAGTGCAGAGGAGATTTACCAGGATGTTGCCTGGAATGGAGGGAAGGTCTTACGAGGAAAAGTTGAGAGAGCTTGGGCTTTTCTCTTTAGAATGATGAAGGATGAGAGGTGACTTGATAGAGGTGTACAAAATGATCAGAGGTATAGATAGAGTGGACAGCCAGAGACTTTTTCCTAGGGTGGACGTAGCTCTTATGAGGGGGCATAGTTTTAAAGTGAGTGGAGGTAGATATAGGGGAGACGTCAGAGGTAGGTTCTTTACTCAGAGAGTGGTTGGGGCATGGAATGCATTACCGGAGAGGGTAGTGGAGTTGGCCTCATTAAGGGCATTTAAGTGGCTATTAGATAGGCATATGGATGATTGTATAAGGTAGGGGTGGAGGTTAGATAGACCCTAGGTTTAGGGTAAAAGTTCGGCACAACATCATGGGCCGAAGGGCCTGTACTGTGCTGTACTGTTCTATGTTCTATGTTCAAGTAGATGGGAGTTGACCCCAAAGGATGGAGACCATAACTCTTCATTCATGGGATGTGAGTGTCGCTGGCTTGGCCAGCATTTATTACTCATCTCTAGTTGTCCTTGAGAAGATGGTGAAGAACTGCACTGTTTTGAGAACATTTGGACCTCAAAGCATTTGCTTCCAGTTGGAAAAAAAATTCTTTCTGGCTGGAAAATGAATGAAAAGTTTCCTGTCGACTGCCAGGTGTATGGGACCAGCTCCAGATTACCTACCTGGTTTTGTTTCTGTTCCAGCTGCTCTGCCAACCTATTTTTAGAGGTTATAGTTGTGGAAACTCCACCCCTGTGGGTCCTGTGTGTGTGAATGCATACACCTGGTGCTATATTTCAGCTTGATTTTTGGTTACAGTAAACACATAAACCTAGTCAGATTGCAATAACTGCTCGAAGATAAATCTTGTTTGTTAGCAGCAGAGGGTGCTAGAGGGCCAAATGCTGAATAGGACAAGAGCCGGAGCTTTGGATGGATTTGGGATGTTAATGCGAGAAACTCAAATGTGATAGATGTGGGAAAATTCACCTCTTGTTGCCTTGTCACACACACTGAGGTGTCAGTCCATGGAAAGCACAAAGCATTGAGGTCATGGTCATCATTGGTCAGCTATCACATTTTGTTGAAGGGAGGTCTATCACAGCATTAGAGACAGTAGGAACTGCAGATGCTGGAGAATCTGAGATAACAAGGTGTAGAGCTGGGTGAACACAGCAGGCCAAGCAGCATCAGAGGAGCAGGAAAGCTGACGTTTCGGGCCTAGACCCTTTTTCAGAAATGGGGGACGGGAAGAGGGTTCTGAAATAAATAGGGAGAGAGGGGGAGGCAGATAGAAAATGGATAGAGGAAAAGATAGGTGGAGAGGAGACAGACAGGTCAAAGAGGTGGGAATGGAGCCAGTAGATTACGAGAGAGTTGCAGTGGGAGAGAGATCCACTGAGGTTTTTCCGAAGGGAGGAGGGTAACTTCTTCAGTGTAGGCATGCTTAGAAGAGGCTTCGCAGTGGGGTTAAAATTGTTTCAGAGATAGTAAGAACTGCAGGTGCTGGAGAATCTGAGATAACAAGGTGTAGAGCTGGATGAACACAGCAGGCCAAGCAGCATCAGAGGAGCAGGAAAGCTGACGTTTCGGGCCTAGACCCTTCTTCAGATACTGGCTCCATCCCCGCCTCTTTGACCTGTCAGTCTCCTCTCCACCTATCTTCTCCTCTATCCATCTTCTATCCGCCTCCCCTTCTCTCCTTATTTATTTCAGAACCCCCTTCCCCTCCCCCATTTCTGAAGAAGGGTCTAGGCCCGAAACGTCAGCCTTCCTGCTCCTCTGATGCTGCTTGGCCTGCTGTGTTCATCCAGCTCTACACCTTGTTGTCTCTATCACAGCATTGTTTACTGGCAGTGCTTTGCTTAGAATCTGATCACAAACCAGAGGCTCGGTTTCTAATACTCCCAGCCATTCACAATAGCTCAAAAATGTCAAGGAGGTTTAATCTGGCATTGAGGTAGCATGGTGGCTCAGTGGTTAACACTGCTGCCTCACACTGTCAGGAACCTGCATCTGATTCCACCCTCGGGCGACTGTCTGTGTGGAGTTTGCACATTCTCCCCGTGTCTGCGTGGGTTTCCTCCGGGTGCTCCAGTTTCCTCCCACAGTCCAGAGACATGCAGGTTAGGTTGGTTGGCCATGCTAAATTGCCCATAGTGTCCAGGGATGTGCAGACCAGGCGGATTGGCCGTGGTAAATGCAGGGTTATGGGAATTGGGCAGGGAACTGGGTCTGGGTGGGATGTCACCACAGAGTCAGTACAAACGCAATGAGCTGAATGGCCTCTTGCCACAATGAAGGGATTCTATGCTGTGATACATCTCCAGAGCAGGTGGGATGTTAACATGGGTCTTCATGCTCAGGCACAGGGACATTACAGTGCACCACAAGAAAGCACATACACTTCACTCAATAAGTACCCTGATTGCCTACTGAAGGCCTTAATCTGGTACAAAAATACACTGTTTGGGATAAAATTTGGCAAGAGGCAAATAAAGGCAGCATAATGTATGTATTCCAAGTGTAGAAGATTGAAAAGTAATATCCATCATCTGAAGACAGAATATTATGGCGCATACTGCATATATTTTGTTATACAAATTTCACAACACAATGCAAGTGGCTGCCCTCCCCATGGTGCCCTGTACTATTTTGAATCCTAAAGCTATTGAAATATCTCGTCATAGCAAGAAGGTGGAGAGTAAGTTCATTCATGATTAAATGACGTTTGCCACATACCAGCTCCTTGTAGTTGGATGCCAATGAATAGGTGTAGGAGTAGGGGAAAAGGCACATCTGAGAGTATGAGTGGATCGTGATATAAGCTTTGATGCCATAGTATTGACGGATGAAGTTAGCAACAGCCTTGACTTCCTTCTCAGATTCTGCATGTGACCCACAGTAAGTTTCATCACAAGGGTTCCTTGAGGCACCAACGGCTGTGTATATAAAAGAGAAACGTGTGTTTATATATATATATATAAAGCAGCTTTCATAACCTCACGATGTCCAAGTTGCTTATAACTATTAAAGAATTGTCAACACTGTTATAACATAGGAATTGTAGCAGCTAGTTTTAGTTTCATTGAAGGACAACTCTGCTCATTCAATCCCAGATGTTGGAAAAGCAATCTGATAACAGTGCTGAATTCAAGACGCATGGTGCTGAGGTAGAAACAGATGTTGCCACTGTAATATCCAGTTTCAGCTGGCAGTTAGGAAGGTATATGCAATGTTGGCATTAAATTCAGGAGAGCTAGATTACAAGAGCAGCGATGTATTGCTGAGGCTATATAAGGCTCTGGATAGACTGCATTTGGAATATTGTGAGCAGTTTGGGCCCCATATCTAAGGAAAGATGTGTTGCTGATGGAGGGGGTCCATTGAAGGTTTGCAAGAATGATCCTGGGGATGAAGGGCTAGTCATAAGAGAAGCAGTTGAGGACTCTGGGTCTGTACTTGATGGAGTTTAGAAGGACTGGGGGGGATCTGATTGAAACTTAGAGAATACCGAGAGGTCTGATAAAGTGGACATGGAGAAGATGTTTCTACTAGTAGGAGAGACCAGGACCCAAGGATACAGCTTCAGAGTTAAGGGATGACCCTTTAGAACTGAAGTGAGAAGGAATTTCTTCAGCAAGAGGGTGGTTATTCTGTGGAACTCATCAATGGAGAGGGCTATGAAGGTCAAATTATTGGGTACCTTTAAGATAGAGTTAGATACGTTTTTGAGTAGCAAGGGAATCAAGGGTTATGAGGTGAAGGCAGGGGAATAGGTTCAAGAAACCTATCAGCCATGATCAAATGGTAGAGCACACTTGATGGTCTGAATGGCCTAATTTTTCTCCAATATCATATCGTCTTACGTTATGTGTGAAAATCAAAGTTGTGCCTCTAAATAATGTCACTGGGAGAGAAAGCTCAGGTTTTTCACAGTCACCTCTCAGAATGTTATTTGTGACATTAGCCAAAGTTGTTTGGAATGATGACAGGACTTGATGGCGAACTGGTTGGAGGGTTTCAAAACTGAAGTTCCAGGAAAGATAGTTACGGATTTATGAGGCTGCAAATCACTCAAAGTCTTTGTGGAGGACTGGGAGGTGGGAGATGGGCTGAACGTTTGCAAGGATGGTGGAATCAAGGGTTGTTCTTCAGAGGAGCGAGGAAATCGTACATTTTTGTCATCACCTGGATCAATAACTTGATTGTGGGGAGGAGGTGTGGTGGAAGAGGGAATGGAAAATATCAAAACATTCCTCCATGCTGTTTAGCCAACTCAACTCCCTTGAAAATAAAACAAAGAACAGTGGATGCTGGAGAAACTCAACAGGGCCTGGCAGCATCTGTGAAGACAAAGCAGAACAGAATTTCACAAGCAGTTTCTGACTTTGCTTCAGCCCTCTCTAAATCCCTTTCTGCACCATTTACAAATTCTATTTGTCGCCTATTCATCTTCTTTGTGCCCACTGGTCCCTCAGTTTCCTGTACATCCTTCTTTTTATTTTCTTCTCCTTCACCATTCCCTCAGCATCCTCTATCTTCCTTTCCTCCTCGTCCCATCTCTCTCACCCACTTGCACGTTAACTCCCTCTCTCTATGACCCCTCACATCTCATCCTTCTCTGTTCCTCACCCTCCTCCATACCCCTTCTCACTCTATTTTTCTTCTCTCCTCCTTTCCTCCTTTTCCTTCCATCCTCCTCTTCTTCCCCCTCCTTTCCCCTCCTTCTTACACTCTCATCTACTCTCCCCTTCTCCCGTCACCTCCCTTGTCTATTTGCTCTCCTTTTCCATCCCATTTACTAACATCTACCCTATTATTTTCCTTCTCTATCTTTTACTTTTATCTTCCCGGCATTGCTGCTCCCTTTGCCTATTCTAGTTTCCCCTTCCCCCTCTAAACATTACACAGCTCCATCCCTTTTCCTAATTTTTACTGTCTTATTAGTTTAAATTTTCTGGGCAGAAATTGCAGTCCTTACAAAGGATTTTTACGAACAAGGAACAAGAGTAAGCCATTGACCCCTCAAGCCTGTTCTATTCAATAAGATCATGGCTGATCTGATTTTAATCCCAACTCTACATTTCTGCATATCCCTGATTTATCATTCATCCCCTTGGCAATCAATAATTCATCTACCTATGTGTTGAAATTATTTAAAGATTCTGCATCTTTTGTGCTTTCAGGAAGGGAATTACAAAAACTTACAAACGTCTGGGAGAAAAACATTTTTCTCATCTCTGGTTCAAATGAGTGGCCCTTTATTGTTACATTATGACCCCTAGTTCTACATTCTCCCACAAGAGGAAACACATTTTCCACATCCACTCGGTCGAGATCCCCTCAGGATTTTATATGCTTCAATTAACACAACTCTGACTTTTCTAAACTCCTGAGGATACAGGTTTAACATGTTCAGCCTTTCCTCATAAGGCAATCTGCTCATTCCAAGCATTAGTCTAGTAAGTCTGGTAGTCATTTTTAAGGAATTAATAGCAGGACATTTGGCAGGTCAAAATGCAATCCATCAGAGTCAGCTTTAATGATGGGCAAATTCATTAAATTTGCTAGAGGTCTTCAAAGATTTAACAAGCAAAATGGATCATGGGGATCTTGCAGACATATTATATCTGGACCTCCAGACAGTATTTGATTAGGTTCTGCACAAAATGCTAATACACAAGGTAAGATCACATGGGGTTAGGGGTGTTTGTTTAGCTTGGACAGGGGATTGGTCAACCAAAAGAGAGCAGAGTGTGGGGCTACATGGGTCTTTATCTGGTTCGCAGGACGTAACTAGTGGGGAGCCACAGACTTCAATCCTTGGGCCCAAACTGTACAATCTACATTAATGACTTGGATGTGACAGAATGTACTATGGCCAAATTTTTAGATAACACTAAAATAGGTGAGAAAGTAAGCTGCAATGAAAAGATAAGAAATTTACAAAGTGGATATGGATAGATTAGGTAAATGGGTCAAAATTTGTCAGGTGGAGTTTAATGTGGATAAATGTAAGGTTATTCATTTTGGTCAGAGGAATAGAAAGGCAACTTATTATCTTAAATGGAGAGAAAATTCAGAGTGCTTCAGTGCAGAGGGGTCTGAGTATCCTTGTACATGAATCACTGAAAGCTAGTATGCAGGTACAGCAGGTAAAAAGGAGAACAAATGGAATTTTGGCATTTTTTGCTAAAGGAATGTAATATAAAAGTAGGGAAGTGTTGCTGCAATGTACAAGGCATTAGTGAGACTTCACCTTGAGTATTGCATAAAAGTTTGGTTCCATTACATGAGAAGGGATGTTGTTGCATGGTCAGCAGTTTAGAGGCTTCACTAGATTGATTCCAGAGATGAGAGGTTTGTCTTATGAAGAGAAATCGAGCAGTTTAGGCCGATAATCTCTTCAGTTTGGAAGAACGAGAGGAGATCTACGTGAGGTATATAAAGGAGATTGACAAAGTAGACATAGAGGGGCAAGTGAAAATGACAGGTTATAGTTTTAGACTGGCAAATGAGGATATGGAGCAATTGCTTTTTTCAAAAAGTTGTGAATCTGTGGTATTCACTACCGCAGAGTATAGTGGAAGCCGGGACATTGAATAAATTTAAGGAGGAGATCGATTTTTAATTAGTAATGCGTCAGAGGTTGATGGGGAGAAGGCTGAAATGAAATCAGTCATGATTATATTGAGTGGAGGAACAGGTTTATTGAGGTGAATGGCTTACTTTCACTGCCAGTTCTTATGTTCTAAACCTTCTCTGAGCTGCTTCCAATGCATTAACATCTTTCTGTAATTACAGTAATCTGTACTTTTTCTGATGAAGGGTCTAGGCCCGAAATGTCAGCCTCTCTGCTCCTATGATGCTGCTTGGCCTGCTGTGTTCATCCAGCCCTGCACCTTGTTGTCTCGGATTCTCCAGCATCTGCAGTTCCTACTATCTCTGTACTTTACATGGTACTCCAAACATGGTTTCACCAATGCCCTGAATATAATGCCCTGTATAACTGAAGCATGATCTCCCTACTCATGCATTCAATTTCCCCTCACAATAAAACATAACATTATATTAGCTTTCTAGATTACTTGCTGTACCTGCACTCTGACCTTCTGCCATTTTTAGAAATGTTTAGCAAACATTCATGATGTAATTATTAGAAACAATGTATAGCTTTAAGTTTAATTTATATGTCATATTTTGTACAAAGTTGGGGAGACATAGTTTTATGTCATTTTTGTTTTAGAGTTGTTTTTGTGGACTTAGTGTCAAGGATTGTGGAGGCCTATTGTTTGCATGCATTTTAACGAGGTTTTACAACATTTGCAGTGAAACAAAAAAGGTTAGCAGTTCAGTGTATTTACAAAAAAAGGCAGAGTTGGAAAAAAGCCATGTTGCTGCTTTCCAACAGGGTTACAGAGAGACTGAAATATTTAGAAGGCAGACAGGAAGTGCACACTTTAGAAAGACTGCTGCTGCAATCTGCACATAGGGAATGGTGTTCACTATCAAGTGAAAATTAATAATAAAATCAGTTTGCAATTTGTTTCTGGAGTCTCAGGTAGCGATACCAGCTAAAGGAAAACGTTGAGAACTTTGGCAGAAGGAAACTGCATGACTGAGCAAGGAATCTTGGTATGGAGATGACACTTTATTGGAGTTTTGATGTTTGTAAAGATATTACTGAGATAAAAAGGAATACCATGAATTTGAGTCAGTCTCTGATATGTTTAATGAAATCTTTCTAATATTGTTGCCTAGTGTAATACAGCTCATATTTTTCTTGTTTAATAAACATTTTGTTTTTTGTGTTAAAGTACACTGGAGGACTCTTGTGAATGTATTAACCAACTGAGCTCCCTATTTAATAAAGTGGCAAAATTGGGATTTACCAAGCCACATTTCTCTCTGAGGTTTGACTTGTCCTATATTAAAATCAGCTCGAATCATAGAATTCCCACAGTGTGAAAACAGGCCATTTGGCCTATCGAGTCCATACTGACCCTCCGAAAAGCATCCCACCCAGACCCACACCAACCCCACATCCCTGCATTTCCAGTGGCTGATCCACCCAGCCTGCACATTCCTGGACACTACAGGAAATTTAGCACGGCCAATGCACCTAAGCTGCACATCCCTGGACTGTGGGAGGAACCCGGAGCACCCGGAGCACCCGGAGGAAACCCACGCAGACACGGGGAGAATGTGCAAACTCCACACAGACAGTCGCCCGAGGGTGGAATCGAACCCAGGTCCCTGGTGCCGCTTAGTTTATTTCTGTCCTTGTTCAAACTCATACGCTGTCCCACGTAAATTGTGTTGATTCTTAAAATGTGGAAACTTACAGCACCATTTAACATCGAAGTTTCGATTTGGATCAGTGCCCACACAGTTAGAACCAGGATTCTTGGAGCGTGTTTTCCTCCAGAATCGATCCTGCAGATGGACATGGTGGAGAAATAAAGGTGCTACGTATGTTCATACACCTGTCCTGTTTTGCAAAGGAAGAGAACAGATCCCTGTTTTGTGAAAGCAGAATACTGCGGGTGCTGAAAAGGGGAAATAAAAACAAAGTGTGCTGGAGTAACTCAGCAGGTCTGCAAGCAGCAGGGAAGAGAGGACCAGAGTCTAATATGACTCTTCATCAGGGGTCTGGAACATAATACTTTTATTGGGAAGTTGGTAGAGTAGTGGTAATGTCACTCTACAGTAATGCAGAAACTGACCTGAGTTTGCAATCCAACCTTGGCAGGTGGTGAAATTAGAATCCAATTAAAAAAACTCTGGAATTAAAATTGGGAGTCCAAAGGTGATCACATAGCTGTTGTTAATTATTGTAAGTACCCATCTGCTCATTAACATCCTCTAGGGAAGGAAATCTGCCATCCTGACCTGGTCTGGCCTACATGTGACTCCAGATCCACAGTAATGTAGTTGACTCTTAACTGCCCCATGGAATGTTCTAGTGAGCCACTCAGTCACCAGAGGGGTGCCCCAGCTATTTACAATCTATAGCAATGATTTGGATGCAGGGATGGAAGGTCGGACTATAATCCCAATCAAGGCGAGGTGGATGGTGCAGGGATAATGTCACTAGATTAGTAATCCTTGTAACTATAGGATAATGTTCTGGGGACACAGGTTTGAATCCCTTTATGGCAGGTAGTGAAATTTAAATTGAATAACAATAAAAATCTAGCCTCATGGTGACCATGTTGACTATTATAAAGACCTATCTGGTTACAAGGGAAATATGCCTTATCTGGTCTGGTCTATTTGTTACTCCAGACTATGTAACATTTAAGAGATAGGCAATAAATGCTGTCCTCAGTAAGAGACACTCACATCTCATCTACTCTGTGAAGAATTCTTTGGGTCATTCACAGTGTATCAGACACTTACCTTGGTCCAGCTATAGACATAGCCATCTACGTTGATAACAGGAACAATCAGGAAATCTAGTTTATCCAGAAGAGCGGTCATTGTAGAATCAATTCCATAATTTGTAACAGCCTGTGGAAACATAGGTTTATTAAATGGCCTGTTTCTCGACTGCGATAATGAAATGCCTGCAGATAAACAGCACAAAGTGAAATTAATGTTGCAACACGAACCTCTTTCACAAACCACTGGCAAAATGCAGGGGAGATCCACTCCCTGGCATGGATCCCACAGTCCATAAAGATGGCAGGTTTCATGAATCCTGTCCTTTTGCCGACCTTTAACGAGAGATTGGCAGTCACTGTGATTCCATGAAGCTGCTTTATCAGTCCAACCATAAACTCTGGCAAGCTTTTGATCACATGTATCAGTAGGCTAAAGCGAAGAGATCAGAGACTCTCACACCAATAAGTACAGAATATAAAATCTTACCCGGAGGAGGTAGATTCCTCGTTCCTCATAGCTCTGTCCAATTTCAAACCGAGAAATTAGTCTTGGGTTTTTAATGGTGATTTTAGTGATCCAGGATTCAATCTACAGGAGAAAAAAAATGATTGTGAGTGCATCCTCAACTTCTACACAAGTGCAATTGATTTGTTTCCTTTTAGGTATATTTTTCAAATTCAACACATTTCAAAATTCAATGTTTAAAATATGATAAACATGTGTCCATGGATTTTTATAGGTGGCTGGATGTTTTGATATATAAAACAATTGAATCCTTCAGAATCACAAAATTGTTACAGAACAGAAAGAGGCCATTCTGCCCAATCTGCCCATTCTGCCTTTGCTGGCTTCCCAAGTGAGCATTTCATCGAGTGCCATTCTTCCACTTTCTCACCATAGCTCTGCACGTTATTCCTTTTTTCAACTACCTAAGTAACTCCCTCACCAATGCCTCAGTTGAACTTACCTCCACCATGGTTTCAGGCAGTGTATTCCAGATCGTAACTATTCGCTGAGTGAAAAAGTGTTTCCTCACGTCACTTTGCTAATTACTTCAGATTCTTGCTCTCACATTCCCAATCCTTTCACAGATGAGGATGTTTCCTCCTTCTTCACTCTGTCCAGGCCTTTCATGGTTTTGAATTTATGAGGGTTTTAATCAGAATTTTAAAGGGAGATGGATAGCCTAGTGGTATTATCACTGGACAGTAATGTTCTGGGGACCTGGGTTCGAATCCAGCTATGGTAGAGGGTGGAATTTGAATTCAATGAAAAATAAATTGGGATTATAAGTCTAATGATAACTATGAATCCATTGCTGATTGTAAAGGGAAAAAACCCATCTGGTCCACTGACGTACTTTGGGGAAACAAACTGCCATCCTTACCTGGTCTTGCCTACATGTGATTCCAGACCCACAGCAATGTAGTTGACTCTTAAGTGCCCTCTAGGCAATCAGGGATGGGCAATGAATGCTGACACTGCCAACGATGCCCTCATCCCGTGAATGAATTTTAATAAAAAATTAAATACTTCTATTAAGTCTCCTCTCTGCCTTCTCCTGTCCAGGAAAAACAACCCCAACATCTGCTACATAGTTTCCTAAATGATGTTTCTCACATCTCAGAAGCTTCTTCTGCACTCTCTCCAACAACTTCACATCACAGTAAGCATCAATTGTTGTATCTTTAATACAGTTGTGATGTTATACAGTAAGTTGTTATGACCTGGAATTCCTGAATGTCCAAAAGTAGTAGGTTCACTAGATAAATACCTGAAAGGGAATATTCTGGCGGGGGAAGTGGGACTAAGTGGATAACTCTTTCAAAGAGCTGTCATGGACATGATGGGCTGAATGGTGTCATATTGTACAGCATCATTACATCATTCCAAGTGTATAAATCCTTGCATTATTGGGCATTACTTTGGTAAAAGTCAACAGCATTTTGAACTTTCTTTCGGTCAGTTAAAAGATAATGGGAACAAAAACAGAAGTTGCTGGAAAAGCTCAGCAGGTCTGGCACCATCTGTGAAGAGAAAAGTCAGAGATAACGTTTCAGGTCCGGTGACCCTTCCTCGGAACTAGTTCGTCAACTCTGATTAGAAACGTCAACTCTGATGTTTTTCTTCACAGATGCTGCCAGATCTGCTGAGCTTTTCCAGCAACTTCTGTTTTTGTTCCTGATTTACAGCATCCACAATTCTTTTGGTTTTTAACCGATAACAGAGATTGGGTTCTGATCTGGGTCTGTGAAGGCAGTGATGTTTGAACCCAGAGGCTTAAGATAATGGATATTTGGCCTTGTCCACCTATTCAGCATGAGTTGCCATCACCTATTGTGCCTTCAAAAGTCGCTTGTTTTATGTTTAAAATTTGCGGCACTTTGGCAGCCTTGCTAATAGTGACCCACAAGTAAATTTCAGAAAACGTGACTGGGGAAGCAAACACAGTGAGTTGGGTTGGTGAAGGTAGAAGATTGCTTTCCTACTTTTGCCTTCTTGGAATGTTTTTCTCCAATAATTATTAAAGTGATACTTAGCTTTAGCTGGTGCCTTTATCTGCAGGAAGTATTATTTAAATTGCAATTTATTAGCATATGAGGATATACAGAAGGTGTCTTTGCACACAGTTCAATGAAAGTAGACAGGCATGTACAGCTAAGAAACTAGGAAAGCAAATGTTATATTGGGCTTCATTACAAGAGGGGTTGAGTTCAGAAATCTTGCTGCAATTATACAGGGCCTTGGTGAGACTATCCTTAGAGTATTGAGTACATGTTTGGTCTCCCTCACCAAGAAATTATATCCTTGCTGTTGAGGGACTGCAGTGAAGGGTCACTAGACAGATATTGGAGATGGTAGGACTCTCCTATGAGGAGATATCCATTTGATTGGGCTTGAATTCATGAGAGATTAGCAGAATGAAAGGAGATTTGATTGAAAAGTATAACGTTTTAACAGGGCTGGACAGGTTAGATGCAGGGAGGATGGTTTCCCTGGTTGGAGAGTTTAGAACCAGGAACCACAGTCTCAGGATACGGAAGAGGCCACTTAGCACTGAGATGAGGAAGGGTTTCTTCACTCAAAGGGTCATGATCTGTTTGAATTCTCTACCACAGAAGGCTACGGATGCTGGGTCACTGAAAATATTCAGGAAAGAGATTGGTACATTTTCAGATTTCAAAGGGAATCAAATGGATTGAGAGAAAGCAGTGAGATAGAGGATCAGCCGGGGTCATCCTAAAGAGTGGAGGAAGCTTGATAGGCCGAATGGCCTATATCTGCTCCTAGTTTCTATGTTTCTATCATCTGGCCTACACGTGACTCCAGACCCACTACAATGTAGCTGACTCTTAGCTGTCCTCTGGGCAATTACGGATGGGCAATAAACATTGACCTAGCCAGCCATGCCCGGATCTCATGATCAATCATAAAAATGAGCCATAATATTATCTTTACCTCATTCCACTGGTGATACCCTTCATAATTGTAGCCAGTTGAATCTGTTGCATTTCGGTCAAACTGTTTCTCCATCAGGCTCTGTACATTCTCAATCAACACACTGTGTGAAATAAGATTAATTTCAAAGAGATCATTCTGGATTGTAATGATGAACAGGGGTAGACCCTTTTGCTTGGTGCACAATTTGGCAAAAGTCAACCAAACAAGCCAATGCAAAACACGATGGTTTCTCAAGGGCAAATTATGCCCAGGGCAAATTGTGTTTTGGCCATCCTTTGTGTCGGTTAGAAAGACATTACTTTGGCATCCAGCCATGCATGTGAAACTTGCTACAGGGAATCCCCACGTTACAAATACTTAAGATCATGATCTCATGCAGGAGTTTTAAAGATCTGACATATGAACGTTTCCTGTACTTACAAACCACTATTTGAAATTCTTGTGCATTGTGTTCTGACTCATGTACAAATTGAGTCACAAACAGATTTAAGAATGGAACTTATTCACAATTCCAGACACGAGGTAAGAGTGACAGCCCTTGACATCAAGGCTGTATTCGACTGAGTGTGGCATCAAGGAGTCCTAGCAAAACTGGAATCAATGGGTATCAGGGGCAAATGCTCCGGTGGTTGGAGTCGTGCCTGAAACATAAGAAGACGGTCGTGGTTATTGGAGGGTCAATCATCTCAGCTCCAGGACAACTCTGCAGGAGCTCCTCAGGATAGTGTCCTCTTCAGCTGCTTCATCAATGACCTTCCCTCTATCATAAGGTCAGAAGTAGGGATGTTCGTTGATGATTGCACAATGTTCATCACCATTCATGACTCCTCAGATACTGAGGAGTTTAAATGCAATAAGATCTAGACAATATCCAGGCTTGGGCTGACAAGTGGCAATTGCCATTTGCCACACAAATACCAGGCTATGACCATCACCAATAAGAGACAATCTAACCACCGTCCCTTGACATTCAATGGTGTTACAATCATTGAATCCCCCACTATCAACATCCTGGGGGTTACCATTGACCAGAAACTCAACTGGACTTACCAAATAAACACAGTGGCTGCAAGAGCAGGTCAGAAGCTGGGAATACTGCGGCGAGTACCTCACTTCCTGACTCCTCAAAGCCTGTCCACCATCTACAAGGCACAAGTCAGGAGTGTGATGGAATACTCCCCACTTATCTGGATGAGTGCAGCCCCAACAACACTCAAAGCCATTCACCATCCTGACCTGGAAATATATTGCCGTTCCTTCACTGTCACTGGGTCAAAATCCTGGAATTCCCTTCCTAATAGCATTGTGGCTCAACACACAGTAGGAGGACTGTAGCGGTTCAAGAAGGCAGCTCACCACCAACTTCTCAAGGGCAACTAGGGATGGACAAGAAATGCTGGCCCACATCCCACAAATAAATAGTTAAAAGAAACCTGGGGACTGTCTGTTTAGCCCCATATTGAAATAATCACCATGATGTGTTTTACCAATTGTTCCTCTTTGTGAGCTGTTTGAGGAGCCTCTTAAAATTGAGCAGTTTTTGTTCCTTTCGATGCAAGGGCATTAATAGGTCTCAGTGAAAAGTGTTATTTTTCATTTAATAAGAGTGTGACTGTAGCACATCAGCATAACTAAAAAGTCATTTAAAATTGTGTCATGGACTGTTGTGAACAAATGAATCTTTAGAAATGTTATTTTTTCTGATAAATCTATTTTCCGCTGTAATAATCAAACTATGCCAGGTTACCACCCTCAAGTAATAACTTTCAATGCAAAATTTAAGCGAGCAGCTAGATTCTAACACACAACCCGATGGTGTTGATTCATCGTGGGTTTTATGTTCGTCGCTAGGAGTTTGAAGGAAAACCCAAGCATAAAATAACATTCTGTAAATTAAGGCAATTTTGATCACAGTTTGCACCAGATCGGCAATTGGACCCGAGTGAGAAACTCTATCCTACACTTCTGTTCAGTGAAAGGTAATACAGGGTCAGAAACTAACTCATATTTCAATCCGATCTTCTCCAGTCCAGCCTGGACATGCGAGGTCCAATCAGCACCCACTCTGAAGTCTACGGTCCTGTCTGTTGTCACCAGGTCAATTGAATGTGGAAGCCAAAAATCAACCTGTGGACACAGCAATAGCCCCATTAATGGCCTTCATTTAATTGCAGTTAATTAGACAGCAGCATGTGAATTAAGCAAAGTGACTTGTACCTTTCCAGTGTGGGACACATTCTTCAGAAACTGCAGGTCCTGCTCGTTTTCTGGTTTCAGGCGAAACACTTTACCCCTTTTGACAAAACTCAAATGTTAGTTTCAGCACTTGCTGGAGAAATTCCCACCTCTGTCAGTTTTGCGGCTAACCCAAAACAACAACTTGCATTTGTGTAGAACCTTTCATCTACTCGAATGGGCCATGGTGCTTCACAAGTGAGTGGTTTCAAGACTACAGGGCATATTTTTAAGGTGAGAGGAGAATGATTTAAAAAAGACATGAGGGCAACTTCTTCACTCAGAAGGTGGATCGTGTGTGGAATGAACTTTCAGAGAAAATGGTGGACGTGGGTACAGTTACGGCGTTTAAAAGACATTCAGATAAATACATGAATAAGAAATATTTGAAGGGATATGGGCCAAATGCAGGCAGGTGGGACTAGTTTAGTTGGGATTATGGTCAGCATGGACTGGTTGGACCGAAGGGTCGATTTCTGTGCTGTATGATTCCATCAGTATATTCAGACCCAGATTAACACAGATCCAATGGAGAGTTTAAGATTTCAGGTTTGGTTAAAAAGGTTGTTTTAAGGATATCTGAAGGGAGCAGAAAGAGATTGAAGGGAGTTTTAGGGAGAGAATTTCAGAACTTCAGGATGAAGTAGCCTAAGGCATGGTCATTAATAATGGGAAAAAAGGAAATGCATAAAGAATTAGAAGCATGTAGGCATTTTTGTTGGGTTGGAAGACTGAAGGATGTTACAGAAATAGGAAGGGCTATAGGAAGATTTAAAATAAAGGACAAGAAAACTTTATAAACTCAGGGATGTTCCTTACCCTGCCTGTTGGCCAACTGTAGCTCCGACAGAAACAGTTGTAACAAAACTGAGAAACAAAAGCCTTTCCATTGTTTTCTTTGCTTGTAAAACACACCCAGTCAGGTCAGGCTAATTTATACTCTATACATTGACTGCCACATGTACATAACAAGTGAAGCATAACACACTGTAAGTTTTTTTTCTAATATCTTTGGCAACATTCACTTGCTTTTTGATATGGATATTTCTGAACAGTAACTTCCTTCCGGTCCATTAAGCCTGAACAGTGATGTTCTTATTGATACATAAATACGCTCAAAAATATCCTGTGTCACAATTGTTATCTAATTACTCATGAAATTTTTTTTATACACAGCTAGCCTGGGACCTCTTGCTCTATGAGATCTTGCAATGCTGCAGCAAGGCTTATAAAAATAAAAATTAATTCGCTGTCAATTAGGGATGGACTGTGGGCAATTTGTACTGCAGACGTTTCCAAAGTTGGAAGATAACTCATTTCCTTTCTCTGCATCAGTTGTTTAACCCTTGCGCTGAATTAAAGGTAGGGTAAAGGGGAATGACCTGTCTACACCAGCTTGGTATCTCTTTTGCTATATTCCTTTGTACGAGTTTGCGCAAACTGTGTGTTGTAGCTCTTACCTCTAATTTTCTCTTTTCAGTGGGAATTGTTATAGGAACATGTACAATTGAGGCAACTCCGATTCCATCTCGAACAGCATTGTGGGTCAACCTATAGCACACAGATGGCAGTGGTTAAAGAAGGCAGCTCACCACCACCTTATCATGGGCATGTAAGGTGGCATGGTGATTAGTGCTGCTGCCTCACAGAGCTAGGGACCTGGGTTCAATTCCACCCTTGTGTGACTGTCTGTGTGGAGTTTGCATATTCTCCATGTGTCTGTGTGGGTTTCCTCCCACAGTCCAACAACGTGTAGGTTAGGAGGATCGGCTATGGGAAATGCAGGGTTACTGGGATAGGGTGGGGGATTGTGTCTGGATGGGATACTATTTGGAGGGTCAGTGTGGACTTGACGGGCCAAATGGCCTGCTTCCACAATGTAGGGGTTCTATGATTCTAACTAGGCACAAGCAATAAATGTTGATCGAGCCAGTGATGCCAACATCTCTCACAAGTGAATAAAGAAAAGTTATACCATGTATTAAATTTCTCTACTCAAGTGCATACAAAAGTGTGAGGTGATTCATTTTGGAAGGACAAACTTGAAAGCAGAATACAGGGTTAACGGAAAGATTCTTGGCAGTGTGAAGGAGCAGAGAGATCTTGGGGTTCATGTTCACAGTTCCCTGAAAGCTGCCACCCAGGTGGATAGAGTTGTTAAGAAGGCGTATGGTGTGTTAGCTTTCATTAATAGAGGGATTGAGTTCAAGAGCCGTGAAGTTATGCTCCAGCTATACAAAAGCCTGGTTCGGCCACATCTGGAGTATTGTGTCCAGTTCTGGTCACCTCATTACAGGAAAGATGTGGAAGCATTGGAAAAGGTGCAGAGGAGATTTACCAGGATGTCGCCTGGAATGGAGGGAAGGTCTTACGAGGAAAGGTTGAGAGAGCTAGGGTTTTTCTCTTTAGAACGACGAAGGATGAGAGGTGACTTGATAGACGTGTACAAAATGATCAGAGGTATAGATAGAGTGGACAGCCAGAGACTTCTTCCTAGGGTGGAGGTAGCTCTTATGAGGGGGCATAGTTTTAAACTGAGTGGAGGTAGATATCAGGGAGACGTCAGAGGTAGGTTCTTTACTCAGAGAGTGGTCGGGGCGTGGAATGCATTGTCGGAGAGGGTAGTGGAGTCGGCCTCATTAGGGGCATTTAAGCGGCTATTAGATAGGCATATGGATGATAGTATAAGGTAGGGGTGGAGGTTAGATAGTCCTTAGGATTAGGGTAAAAGTTTGGCACAACATCATGGGCCAAAGGGCCTGTACTGTGCTGTACTGTTCTATGTTCTATGTTCTATGTAACCCCAGTCAATGCAATCTGTCCTGATAGGAAAGAAGATGGGCTAAACCACAGCTAAAATGGTTCTGATGTTGATCATCTGTCTTGTACTGGAAAATCATGGAAGTTTGGATTTACCCGAGCGAGATGAAGCATTCCTTGTTTTGATTTCCAAGGAAAGATACCTGTATCGGTGTCATTTCAATGGGGTTTGGGTGTAAAAGGTGGGAAGTCTTACTTCAACTGTACATGGTCCTGGCACAATTGACAATGCCGCACGCGATTACAGCATAACAGCAACACATTTTATATTAGGGTTTGAGTTTGTTGACTAAATCTACAAATTAGGGCCTTCCTTAGAACATAAGAACTCAAAACATGTCATTGGATCCCAGTGCCTTGTCAAACTAAATGCCAACAGCCTTTCCAACACTTTTTCCTTATCAATGTTGAACCCTTCAATGACTCAGTTCCCTTTTCTATCGTAAAGACTAGAGTCCCTTTTTGGTAAAGACAGATACAAAGTATTTGTTAACACCTTAGCCATGCCCCTGCTTATAGACGTAAATTCTCTTTTTGGTCTCTAATCAGTCTTACTATTTCTTTTATTATTGATATGCCTACAGAAGAATGTGGGCCATGCCTTCATGTTGGCTGCCAGTCTTTTCTCACAATTTCTCTTTGCTTTATACCTTTTCCCCTCTAGTCTGAAACTTCGGCCTGCATGTTTCTTCTCCACTGTGTTTTCCACCTGACACCTTTCATGAGCACACTTCTTCTTCATTTTAATCTCGATCTCCTTTGTCATTGAGGGAACCCTGGATTTGTTTGTCCTACCTTTCCCTTCAGAGAGATTATACCTTGACTGAACCCAAACTATCTCCTCTTTGTAAGTATGATGTAGAGATGCCAGTGTTGGACAAAGTCAGATGTCACATGACATCAGAATGTAGTCCAACAGGTTTATTTGGAATCACACAAGCATTTGGAGTGCAGCCCCTTCGTCAGGCGCAGTGTGTCCTGCTCTCTCACTGCACCTGATGAACGAGCAGTGCTCCAAAAGCTTGTATGGTTCCAAACAAACCTATTGGACTATAACCTGGTGCCGTCTGACTTCTCACTTTGAAAGTAGCTCATTGCTCAGTCACCATTTCTTCCGACCAATCTTTGTTGTATTTGCATTTTCGACCTTAGGCTCGCTTTTCATCCCAGATTTTTATGGGATTCGAATTCCTCCGTGGCAGATGGCAAGATTTGAAACCAAATCCCAGAACATTAACTGAGGGTTCTGGATTACTTTCCCAGCGGCATCACCACCACATGACCACCTCCCTCAGAGATGGCAGAGAGAAGATGTTGAAACCTAACTCCGTGGGGTGCAGAAGGTCATTGACCTTCATCTTGTATGGCTTAGACCCAGAACACTGCATTGACTTGGCCAGTGTCCAGGCTGGTCTGGGTCTGATGATGTGACCTCCAGAGGTGGTCACTTGGAGAAAGGACTACATTCTTGTCCACTGCCGTATCCACCGCCCTTTCAGGTCCCTGCCCAGGTAATGGGAAGTAGACTCTGCTTTCCAGGCCATGTTCTCAATGATAATGGTCGTTCCTGGTTTATTGCGTTTGAAATGGTGTTTGGCTGAATTTTAAATGTGGTGCCAGGCACGTGAATGCCAGAAGGTCACTACAGACGTGAACATTCGTGCCTTTTTTACCACGAGGTTTCCCCAAGAAAAGCACCCAAGAACCCAGTACCATAAGTACTGAGGTGAAGCATAAGTTTGCCTGAGAAAAGTCATTCAGACTCACAGTGGACCAGGCATTATGATTCTTGTAGTGATAGTAACATGGTCAGCCAGGTGGATCTCATAGGATAGGAGTCCCCTGACTGGCGCTGTTAACCTAGTCCAATCAGGGAGCCCAGGCTGACAGATATGAACAGGAGTGTCAGGGGGTTCTGCTCACCCTGAAAGCTGGCTCTGTGGTAGTTGGATCGGTGTCACGTACTGTGCACATGTAAATAAAGGGTGACTCGGTGAGGGGATACCAGCCTTTGTGCAGTTATTTCAAATCTCACTCGACAAAATAGTATCAATAAGAACGTGAATATTCTATCCAATGCTCGTCATACGTGACAACATTACAAATGCAATTGTGGAATATTTTGTCAGTTCAGTATTTCTAATGAAAGAACAAAAAGTTCTGAAAAGATCAAGAGAATCATAAAACACTAGAATGCAGAAATAGATCAATCGTGTTTATATACAAATGTACAAGTTAGAATGAGAATTAGCTTTATTGTCACATGTACTCAAATGAGGACAGTGAAAAGTTTACAAGTGGCCACTTACAGCACCATCTTAGATAGAAAGGTACCTAGGACGAGAACCTGGTGTCATGTGATTTCTGACTTTGTCCAATGGATTCCATAAAAATCTGGGATGAAAAGCGAGCCTAAGGTCGAAAATGCAAATACAACAAAGATTGGTCGGAAGAAATGGTGACTGAGCAATGAGCTACTTTCAAAGTGAGAAGTCAGACGGCACCAGGTTATAGTCCAATAGGTTTGTTTGGAATCACACAAGCTTTTGGAGCACTGCTCGTTCATCAGGTGCAGTGAGAGAGCAGGATACACTGCGCCTGACGAAGGGGCTGCACTCCAAATGCTTGTGTGATTCCAAATAAACCTGTTGGACTATATTCTGATGTCATGTGACATCTGACTTTGTCCAACACTGGACTCCAGACCCCACCTGGATTAGGAGGAGTGTGCCCCTCGAGTCTGCTTTACTATAAGACCATGGGTGATCTGATTGCTCCATGTTCTTGCCTACTCCTGATAATTTTTCATGACCTTGTTGTAGAGCCATAGAGTTATACATCACACCGACCAGACATCCCAATCTCACCTCGGCTCATTCCCAGTGTTCCATTTCCACCTTAAGAATATTGAAAGACTGTATTCCCAGTGCTCCGTGTGGAAAAGAATTCCAAACACTCATGGTCCTTTGTGAAAAAAAATGTTTTTCTCATTCATATTTTTGAACGTGATCCCACTCTAACTTCTCCCACAAGAGGAAACACCTTTTCCACATCCAGCTTTGAAGATCCCTCAGGATCTTATGTGTTTCATTCAAGTTGTCTTTTACTCCTCTACACTCTAATAGATACAAGCTTAGCCTGTCAGACCTTTCCGTTTAATACAAACTT